AAAGGTGATAGCTATCCCACATGATAGAAGCTATTCAAACAGAGTTGAATCTGCTCTATAGTCGCTGGAAAGACAGTATCTCGTTATTAGTCTAATAACTACATAAAGGTTTTATCAAAGTGGTTACCAGGGCGACTTTTTCTTTATACAAATGCTACTTTCGTTTTAACCCACGTAGCCACTCTTTTCGCCGTCAAGGTTCCAACAGGTTGTCAATGAAAATACAGTTCAGAGATTCACGACTACCATAAAATCTTCAATTAATGATATGATTAAGTTATTTCCTCCGTGAAGAGCATCTTAAAGTACTTGGGGTTGTTTATAGGTTAGTGTCCCAATATTAAGGAAAGTCGATGCGTTATGCACACCACAATTGAGTGAAGTACAAGCTTTATAACCAAGCACTGGTTCCTTCTTGCTAACGAACCTGGTAAGCTAACAATCTCCGGAACTGTTACACACCTGGCACATGTACACTACACACTCATACAGTGTAAACCAACCATTACACAACAAGAATTTTAACAGTAACAGATAAAAACAATATTATCTTATGTCTTAAATAAATAACACTTTATAGTATTTACTTTTACCAATATTGAGATATTAAGCCCTAAACAATCCCAAATACCTCACTAAGAACATACAACTGGCTCATTAGCAAGAAGGAACCAATGTTTGGTTATGGAGTCTGTTCTTCACTCAATTGTGGTGTGTATACCACAGCTACTAAAAAATAACCATTAATAAGGTGCACAAAATTCCAGGTCACTAATACTGAATTTTTCAAAAGGTATTTGCGCTTTGAATTAGTTTGTGTATGTGCTGCAAGATTTATCTTTTTAGTACAATATATGTTTTTTTGTAAGGACGCTGAACCCCAAGGGTTTTTATTGAGATATCAATTCTAAGGTGAAAAGGAGTGCCCAATCCTGCTTTTGAAATATATTCTCTATTGTTGTTAGGATATTTTGAGTTATATGTGGTATGAGTGAGTGTACGTGGGAAAAAAGAGGCAAATAAAGTTCCTAGTAAAGATGGGCGACAAGAGAAGCTGCAGAGGCAAAAATAAAGGTACCCGGGAATGGAATATCTTAAAACACAACGGTTTAGGGATGGTGTCAGGCTGTTAAGAGTGTATAGCTGATGAGAGGAACGACGGGAGTGTTTGGATCGACAACTGGTGGGAAATAGAAGGGTAAAAATGGAATGAATGTCTTGTATGGAGGGCATGTTTCCAAAATGCAATAAGCAAAAATTAGCTTACACAGAGAGTCTTAGAGAAAAAATGAACAGAAAATCGGAACTCGTTTCGTTTTATTCACCATAAATGGGGTATGACCCGTCAGAAAAGATGGTAGGAATCTGTGTGACACGCTAGGGGAGGAATGAGACCGCAGGATATCATTGAACAGGAATGGCGGGAGAAAATAGCAAAAGAAAAAGGTTTCAGAGGGATGCAATGGTTGATGATTTGATGGAAGAGCTTGTTAATAATAAGAGGGCTGTGAGACCACCCTTAGTGCAATATAATGCGATTTTTTAGGAATTATTACCAAAATTAGAGGATTTTTAAACAGGTTGAAACACTATCAGAAAGGACTTTTGTCAGATAGTTCGAATATAACAAGATTCACAGGGAGTTTTATCTATCAATCAAGATTAGTAGTTTTCCTTTCTTGATAGAAAATATCTTTCTCAATCTCTTTAAAATTAGGTAAGAAAGTAGATAGATTCTGGTGGACGTTTAAAGAAAATTAAAAATATTAAAATAGCAAAAGCAGAGTATCTTTTGAGCACCAGGACCTAAACAAAACAAAAAAAACCGACATACAAATCAACTATATCAATGAATCAGCTGTAATAACCAGCATGTAACAACACTCTACTCTACTCTATGAAATCCAATATGAAAATGTGCCTATTTTATGACTTCTACATATTAGTACTTTATACTTTATGTCTGTCAAATTATCTTTAAAGCCTGTAATATAAAAATGCTTGTAGGTAATGATGCTTATTTAAATACACCCAAATCGATTTTTTTTGTGCACAGTCTGTGTAAATACAATGAGCACGTTTACTTGTGTATACACCTCACCACGCCTTTTCTGTCTTTCTTTCAAACACGCATTTTTTATACCTTTTCATCTCTCTTCTTTTCTATTTTATTTTTTCTCTCGCTCATTCCGATGCATCTCCTTTACAATCTCCATGCAGATTAGCCGAATTCAGTTATAGGTTTCACGCCATTGCTATTCTCAAAAATTATTTTGATTTTTCTTAATGGACTTTATAGATAAAAACGGCCCCATACAATCAAACACAGTAATCAACACAATGATAAGAATACACATATTATATTATATTATATTATATTATATTATATTATATTAATCTTTAGATTTATTTAACTAAATTAATTTTTCTTATTAATGAGACTTCCTAATTACAACATTAACCTCTTCAATCAAGTAAAAAAAAAAGTTTGAACGCGTATTTTTTTTATTAGTCAACAACAGTTTAAAAATTATTTTATTTATTTATTAAAGATATACATAAAGAAGCTATTTTATTTTATATGATTTCACTTAATGTTTTTTTACTAATGTAAAAAAATAAAAAGCATGACACCAAGTTCTTTGTCCCCGCATTACGCGGCTCAATCTCCCTCAGGACGTAAACCTGACTTGGTAGCGAAGGAGGTGTGGGAATGGTGTTAATCCGTGGCGTAAGATAACAACCGGGTTCATCCCAACTACCCTATCTCATCACTGAGAAGGGCCTGCGAACGTACCAGAGAAACCTACCACAAAGTAGCAGGGTCCAGCGTGTTCGACTACCAAGCAACACCGTCAGTTCCAGAGAGCTTCGAACAAGGATTTCATGAAGAGTCGGCAGTAAACTCCACTTCCTCCCCGTCCTCCACTCAATAAACTTTCATGATGCTAACTCGGCGGCAGCTTTTTTTAAACATTGCTCGTCGCCATTGTTTCAGAAATTATACAATTAAATTCACAATTCAGAACAATGTTGATCTGCGCCTCTAAGAATTAACCAAGAAGCTAGAGACGACGCACTTCCGCTTTTTCCTGCACAGAATAGAAAAAGAATGTCTCCCAATCACCCATAGGTAGCGCGTCAAACTCAACTACAGGCAATCAGGGGGTACCCGTCTCCAGAGTATAAAAAAAGCTAAAGAGAAGAAAACCGTGTCGGTTGAATGGGCTTTATTTTGATATAGCCGCAGTCTGCGACTAAAGTTTGGGTCTGCGCTTTTTTTTGCCAGGGGTGTTCTTTGTCTCCCACGTCAGAGCAGTGACATAGCTGTATACTCTTTTTAGTAGGATTGTGTAACTGTTCTATGACAGTAGTAGCAGCTTATAGATTTAATCAAATAAATGTTGCAAAGTGAAGTAAATTAGAGCAAAGAAGCAAAGAAGTAAAAAGAGTAACGAAGGGTTTAGTTTTAATCGGTATAGAAATAACTCTTAAAGTGGAGTACAAGTTTCTATAACGGCGATTCGTAGGTTACTCTAAGCTGGTCTGTGCACTTTTTATTCGAGTGTACAAAGAGATTTGCTTTTCTTTTGCTTGTACAAGTAGACATAAATGAGACCCGCAAGTCATTAGGAGATAAACTTATAATATCTCAAAGTGCTATAAGGGTATTAGGTAGAAAAGCAAAAAACAAGACAAAAAGTATAAATGTATATTATCTGAATTATTACAATATGGTAGGTGGCGGAATTTTGAGTTCGAGATTGAGTTTTATTGAAATGAGGTTATACCAATAATTGGAGGTATCAAGGTGATTTTCCAAGTGAATACGAAGTGAGGTATTCGGGATTGTTTATGGGTTAGTATCTCAATAATGGGAAAAGTAGATATTGTGAGAGTGTTATTTATAAAGAGACAAAATAATATTGTTTATATCTGCTACTATTCAAATCCCTGTAATTCAAATCCCTGTTGTGTAATGGTTGGTTTACACTGTATGAGTGTGTAGTGTACGTGTGCCTGGTGTGTAACAGTTCCGGAGATTGTTAACTTGCCAGGTTCATTAGCAAGAAGGAACCAGTGTTTGGTTGTGGGGTCTGTTCTTCACTCAATTGTGGTGTGTATACCACACGAAGGATTGCCATAAGTTACGTTGTGTCGATGATGCAAAACATAACAGACCTACCCAGCTTTTTTTTAATTTTTTTAATAACTCTAGATACTAACTGTAGTTATATATTAATAAAAGTGAAAACAATTAGCAAATGAATACTACTGAAGAGGTCAAAGTCTATCATTTTATTATGAGGTTTAATTGGCACTGACAAACCAATTATTTCAAGCTATGTAACATACATTAAATACCGAGAGTTATGTTAGATATAGAATAAAAACAAACAGTCTAATTGTGCTTTCAGTTTACTCAAGACCAATATCAAGTTGCTTATTACAAAGGTTGATTAATTGACAATTGTAATACCAATTTTACAGCAGCAATAACTTAGGTGCTTTATCAGAATGTACATTTAAGACTGTATTGGCTATTCTACTTACAAAAAAGCAAATAATTTACTTTTGCAAAATTTATGTTTTACAAAGAGAAATACCGTAAGATGATAATATTATTTTTATAGAAAAAAAAAGGGTCATTTTGTTTTAATATTTCTCTCTCTTTATGAAATAATACAGTATTGCTTTCTCTCTAAGTTTGTTCCTTTTGGATTGATTTTTAATCTATTGGTGTTTTAATACTTGAATAATGACAGAGTTTTGAATTTGGATATTGAAATGAATTCTAAAAAAGAATACTTGACTTGTATTGTACAAAACTGTTTTTTCTGTCATTTCATCCAAAAAAGGTAAGCTGGACATTTGAAAATTAATTTTGATTCGCCCAAAAAAAAAGTTAACATCACCCGAATTTAAAGGTAGAAAAATACTTATAGGAAATCTCGCAGCTTAAATGCGATTACCTTATATTACCACACTTTTAATTAATCATGGTCTGTACGAAATGTGAAAAGAAGTTGGTTAGCATGGCTGCTCCCGACAAGTGGAAGGAAGGATCCACTAATTCTGTTGGTAAAGATTAACTTGATTTGCAAGAGTACAATTTCATCTGGCTTGACATTACGATCGCCAAAACAAAAGCATAAGCTAATCTTTAATCGCTCTTTTTTTTTTTTAAAAAAAACACACGTACATTTGTTTTCTTTTGTAATGCACAGCTGGATCATCCGGACGCAAGTTGAATCAAAACAAGTTATTATCGAGTTCAGCAAAATTGAGGCAAGACGATCTCGGTTGAAAAAAAAAGATTGATTGATTGTGTATTAACATTACTTGATTTAGATACAATCCCTATGAAAGTAAATGCAAGATATGCAAGGCAAAACTCCACCAGGTCAAAGCCCATTATTGTCAAGGCATGTCTATAATCTATATTTAAGAAAACGATGTTTATTGTATTGACAATTTCTAATTTATTTATCTTTTTTATTTATTTCATCTTTCTTTTGATCTATGTAGCTTGTTCTTACAAAAAGGGTATTTGCGCTATGTGTGGCAAGCAAGTGCTGGATACGACCAGTTATAAGCAATCTTCAAAGTAGAGAAATAATTCCTGGGGGCTCAACTATACTACCACCATTACCGCCACTACTGCTACTACTACTACTACTACTACTGCTACTGCTACTGCTACTACAATTACTGCGGCTTTAACGGTGATAACAGCCACATCATTTTCAAATACACATATATCAATAACATGTTCTTGCCTTGAATCCTCTAGACTGGTACTTATGTTTTTTTTTCACCGTCTTGATATATCGTGGTTATACACATTTTGTTTTGTTTCGCTTAGCACATAATTCAACGCGATCTTTTCGATAAATATAAATGTAATTCAGATGTTAAACAAGTCTATCTCATGTAATTGCATTTGTTGGACTGCTCTTTGTTGAAAAGATATCAAATTTGGCTATTAAATTACGCTAATGGGATCGAGAATCCTGATTCTTGTCTAATTATAACATAAAGCAACCCTGTCTGGTTTGTGATGTATTTTGTTTTTAGTGCCGATATACTAGAATGAATGTATTTATATTGTGCAGTATTGCAGTATAATTATTGAATCCATCTTGTGCAACAATTCAAAACAAGTATATAATTTATTTAAATACATAAAATAACCAAAAAGAGAAAGCTCTAGTTTTTGTTTTAGTAAACGTTTACATGTATATGTATATATATAACTCTGTATTTTGTTTATTTATCGCATGTTACCATCGGCTTTTAGCCAATCGATAGCTTCTTTTTCAGAAACAAGAGTAGGAAATCCAAATCCATTTGAATTTGGAGAAAATAGCTGTGCAAAGTTAATCTGGTGGAATGGAGGATTGGTGTACATAGGAATTGGAGGAGGTGCTTGAGAAACAACAGTGGCATTCCTTGATGCCATTACATGCGATGCCTGTAACTCTTGCAAAAGCAACTTTTATTCCACAATACAAAAAAAAAGAACAGAGAAAAACAATGGTGCGTCAGTGTTTAATAAGTAAATCAGTTGATATACTTTCACTAGAAAAAAAAAGCGCACACACACACACAGAGAGAGATACACAGAATGCTTTATTCTTAAGAGAATTACCTGTCTTTCAACCTCTAGTCTTTGTTCATCTTCAAGCCGTCTTTGTTCTTCTTTAACTTTAGCTTCTTCTTGCTCTACTTCTCTTCGAATCTAGAATATTTCCTTTTTCTTTTAAGAAAATAATAAAACGAAAGAAAGAAATAAAGTATATTTACAATTCCAGAAATTATATCTACACTGCCCTTACAGCCACAGAATTTCGACTTTTGAATCGTTCAAGGCGATCATGCATTTCTTTTAAATGATTTCGTCGATTATGAAGTGGTTGAGCTGGATTCGAAGAAACTGTTGATGTAGCTGTTTCAAAATGTGGCTTCTGTGAGCCATTTATCTCAACATTGGAAGGTAATGGACTTGAATTCTCCATAGGATCTAAAACAAAATGTATGTATGTGTGTATGTATTAAATATATATAAAAGAGTCAAAATGAATATCAATTTTCAATTTATTTTTTAGACTGGAGTTAAAAAAAATTAGAAAAAATGAATTTTGTAAACCCAGAAAACACATTTGGTCTTGTTTAGTAGGGAATTCTTCCACAAAGCGAGATACTTGCCCTCTTTATCCTTCATCCATTCCCATTAATTCACACCAAGACTTGAACCTCCTAGGCCTATGATCAGGTTTGTAAAAGTTAAAGAGAAATAGCGGTAATATTGGCCTAAAGAAGTGAGCAAAAAGATGAACAGGCTTTAAAATAAGTTCTAACGGAATTGATCGACGCACTCAAACAAAAACTAAGAAATATGATTGCTAATCCAGAGGAAAATATGAACATACACTAGCATACTTTTTGGGAGCATATCTCCATCTCCCCGTAAGCTTTATGTATTCATTAATATGGATTGGTGGGTTGAGCAGTTTATTAAATGGATATTAGACTCTCAGTAATGTGATTTGTAAAATGACAAGCAGATTTGGAGAGAATTGAAAGACAGAGTCTAGGATACGTGCTTGTATTCCAACTTTTTAAAGATATAGAAAAGAAGAAGAAGAATATTTAACCGAGTATACAAATCCACGAAGCACAAAATTTACATGCATTTGAATAGATAGACAAATGATTTTAAAGCTATTGACGTTAAACAGTACTTCTTTGTGATTTTGTAATTTATGATTGTGATATATGTATATGTATAAATACACTAAAGAAATATTACAGAAATGATAATAATAAACAAGAGAGGTAGAAACAATACAATACAATACAATACAATACAATACAATACAATACAATACAATATAAAAGCAAACAACCTCTTCTTCTTCTTTTTTCAGGCCAGCTGAGAGGAGTAAAGGGAACCCCCCCTCACCCCTACTCCTTCACCTTTTTGCTTAATCGAATAAATGAATTACTGTTATTATTATTGTTATTATTAATAATATTATTATATATATATAAGTGTGTGTGTATATTTTTTAATAAAGAGAGATAGAGAGAGAAAATGATAAGAGTTGTTAGGCTCTTTTTTTTTTAACCCATCATCATGTTCTCAGCACCAGCGCCACCAGCCTCCATCTGCTCCTTGACAAACATTTCAAAGTACTAAGGATTATAGTAAATAAATAAACAAACAAAAGGAATATTAGAATCATTCTGAAATGTTGTACATTCCACCCATAGTCTCTTTCCCTGTCACCATTATCAAGTTTCTTTAAATATATTTCTTTCTTTACCTGGAAGATGATTGTGACACACAAGAGAATACCAGTACCGGAGCCAACAGCGCCCAACATATCAGCCAAGACAGATACAGCTCCGAGACAGGCACCACCGAAAGAGGCGGCGACGGGAATAACACGCTTGAGTTCCTTGTACATCGAAGTATCACGGTAACCAGCAATAACAAGTTGCTGGTCCTTGAGCTGACGAGCAACATCACGGGGAGAAGATCCAGAGACCTCAATCCATGTCTTGGACAACAAGGCACATGCGGTGAGCATGATACCAATGTAGATAACGGTGTGGATGGGGTTCACGATGGCATCGGTGATGCTGCGAGGGGCCGAGAGGTAGTAAGAGATACCTCCGGTGGCGTAGAGCTGCGAAGATCCCTCAAAGGGTTCCCAGACACCGAGAATACGGACAAGAATGTTGGTCTCGAAACGCTTGTAGAGCATCTGGGAGATCATGAACACATTGGAGGCCATGGTGGACTGGAGCATGATGGGCATGTTGGAAGTGTAGAAGAGCTTGATGGGGTAAGATCCACGCTGGCCACGGGCACGGTTAGACTTGACAGGCAATTCGACACGGAAACCCTGGAGATAGATAACAAGACCAAAGATAAGAGCGGTCGAGAGCAAGCTCATGACATTGGGAAGGTTTGTGCGGTAGAAAGCTTCCTTCAAAGCACGGCTCTTGTCCTTGCGGCTTGCGAGGAGGTATACAAGCGAGACAATGGCACCCTCAAACTCGTCACCACGACCGGTGTTGATGGTTGTGGGAGAAAGGGCCTTCCAGACGATAGTCTCACACACATTGGTGGCAATGAACAGGTTGATACCTGAACCAAGACCGTAACCCTTTTGAAGCAACTCATCCAAAAGCATAGTGATCAAAGAGGCTACAACCAATTGAATGACGAGCAAAACACAGACACCAGCACCAATCTCCTTAGGGCTACCATAGAGACCAGTCAAGACCGAGACGGATGCCTGTCCGAAAGCAATCAACATGGCAAACACTAATTGTTGATATTAAATATATGTTAGATTTGTTTTTTACAGAAAGAAAATAAATTCGTGTATATATATATAATTTCTTCTATTCCATGCACAATTCTTACATTTCTGGGCTCCACTGAACAGAGCTCTGTCTTCCTTCAAGCTGTAGTCAACCTCGATGATGTTAGCACCTGAAAGGAGCTGCATGATCATACCAGATGTGACGATGGGGGTGATTCCGAGTTCCATCAGAGTACCACGGTTGGATGCAAGGATGACTCTCATCCAGAAAAGAGGATCAGATGAATCAGATGACATGATGCCATACAGGGGTACCTGCGACATGACCAAGAATACAAACAATGTCACGCCAGTCCACATCACCTTTTGGTTAAAAGGAACCTACAATTCACACAGATCAGCTTACGAGTTCCCTCTTCTTGGACGCGTTTATTGTTCTCTAGACTTTACTAACCTTGCGATCTGGTGCGGCAATCTCGGGAAGTACGGCCATAAAGGGCCTTACGAGGTGTAAAATCCGGACTAATGAATAAGTTGGTTAAATTAGTATGATATTATTATTATTGAGGGGAAGTCCCTTTTGTATTGACAGCTTATTGTTTTTTTTTTAGTTTTCGATTTTTTCTTTCTTTCTTTTGTTGGTTTCTTTTATTAGCTTGTGTGTACGTATATTATACTTACATCCCATTATTTCTTTATTTATTCTTCTAGTATTTCTATGTATATAGATTCACTACTGGAATAAAGGTAGAAAAAAAACAAAAAAATACAAAAAAGGGTTTAAAGAGAACGGAAAATCTACAAGATGTGACAAAGAGTAGACCAATCACCACAAAGTGAAGTTTTCCTGCCAATCATAGAGACCCACCTTGATCTGGATTCCAAAGTAATATGTGGGACAAGTGATACCAAGCTGTTAAAGAAAGAAATAATTGGATATGTACAAATGTACGTGATTTTCTTTTGGGAGAGTGTGTGTAATGTAATGTGGTGTGGTGCGTGTGGTGCGTGTGGTGCGTGTGGTGCGTGTGGTGCGTGTGGTGCGTGTGGTGCGTGTGGTGAATGGTATGTGGTGGTATGTGCACCGTACGTGTCAACTATAGGTGTTGTCTTGACACCTTCAAGTAGACAACAGGGATAATTCAATTATAATTATAATAATTATAATAATTATAATAATAGTAATAATAGTAATAATAGTAATAATAGCAATAGCAATAGCAATAGTTATAATGGAAAGACGAAGAAGAATGCCAAAGGAGGGGGTATGGATCATTGTGTAGAAGCTGTTCCAGACAACTTCTTGTGAGTGTATTTTTTTTTTAAAAAAAAAGAGAACATCTTACTGTTCCCCTTTTTGTGTATTACACATGCTCTTTAACCTTGAACTCTTGATTCTCCTATAGACTCCTCAATTTATTCTTCTTTATCTTATTGACTAACTTTTTTATTTATTTATAAAATCCTTAAATAAAAACTTACATAAATATATATATATCTATATGCAATACTCCACAGGATATATAAAAGAAAGGAAGAAGATGTCCTATAGTCTCCTGTAAATAATAACCAAAAGAACTCTTTATTGCTCTACATGTATGTATATGATCATATCATTTAATTAAATAATATATATATATATATCTTTACATACTTATATATACATATATATGTACTGAATATTCAGTGTTTTCTCATCCCTTTTTTTTATTGTCATTTTACACGTTCTTTTTCTTACCAATCTTCTTCTTCTTCTTTACAAGATAAATGTATTTCTCTGTAGACAAAGAATATAAACTTTTTGATAAGCTGTTTAAAGAATAATATTTTCTACCCCCAAAAAAAATCAAAAAAAAAATCGAAGAAGCAGAAGCAGAAGCAGAAGCAGAAGCAGAAGCAGAAGAAGAAGAAGAAGAAGAAAAAGAAAAAGAAAACGATTTCATTGCTTGAAAGTCCATTAACATTTTACACAATCTTTATTGTTGGTGTTGTATTTTATGTTGTTGAAAATATTTGGTTGTGCTCGACAACACTATGTAGTATATATAGATAGAAATCTACTGTTATTTTGATCTTCTCATTAATAATAATAAAAATAAAAAAAAGAAAACCGTTCATCATGATCCGGTCTTTTTTTTGTGTACAGATGAAAGAAGGGAAGATAATAAGAAAATGAAAAAAAGAAGGGATTTTGTAACAGATGAAAGAAGAAGAAATGAAGAAATGAAGATTAAGAAATCTTGAATGTTTGTGAGTAAGTAAGTGTTTGTGTAAGTTGAGTTGAAGGGGAGGGGAAAGGGAGGGGGATAGATGGGGGATATTCTTTTGTGTAGTTGTGGGTAAGTTAATCTCTAGACTAGGCCAGGCTATACTGGTCTAAACTAGTGCCAAGAGACCAAAGAGAGCTGCGATGAAGAGTGGGCCGTTCAAGAGTGAACGGACAGAGGCTCCAGCATTGGTGCTGGTTGTACCAGACGCACCAGGTACGACTCCCGATCCTGTAGCAGTGCTTGCATTTTGGTTTACACTTTGGTCAAATGTAGGGAAAGTGATTGTGCTCTCAACGTAGGGGTGTGTGATGTTCATGCAGGTGGCAGCGTCTACGACGTGTTTGTAGGCCTTTTTGATCTCTGGGTAATGCTTGACGAAGAAGTCCATTGTCATGTTGTTGATTTCATGGGTCAAGACAATGTTTCCGCTGGTAGCAAAAGTTCCGTTGGTACCCATCTGGATGTAAGATTCATACTTTTGGTTGACAGTATCGACGGTTACTCCCGGAGTAGAGCCGGCTGCCCAGTCGTTTGTGTCCAAATTCCATAGCATGGCAGTCATGTTGAGCTGAGTGGCGATCCATCGAACGCGGTCATCCAAATCACCCAGAGCCTATTAAAATAATTTATGAGTATGAGTAATGTGTATGTGTATGTGTGAGTATGAGTATGAGTGTGAATAGGTGTGTGTGTGTGTGTAAGAGAGAGAGAAAAAAAAAGAGAGTATATGCATATTGTGTAATTATGGTTGATCCCCATTATGAATTTGATATTGGGTAGTTCAAGTCTATAAAATCTTATGCACAACTTACGGGGCGCCAATACAAAGGAGTTACGCCAGTGACAAATTTTATTGCCTTTGAAGTATAATAGAGTTCGGCCAAGACTTCTTGGTTGGTTAGCGTAGTCATCATCTTGTGAGACCAGGTGTGGCTAGCAAGATGGTGTCCGTCCTTCAGACCACGCAATGCACCATAAGGCCAGTTCATAACGTTTGATCCAACGTAAAACATGGATGCTCTTTGCTTGTTCTCTTCGAGGTAGTCGTAAAAAGCGTTGTGGGAACAGTTTGGACCATCATCGAATGTCTTGTTAAAAAAAACAATTTAAATAAATAAAGGGTCGTTATTATTATTAGTATTATTTTTCACAAGGGTGAATAATTATGGAAATTATAATTACAGTTATGATAATAAAGGGGATAAAAGTTTATATATGTACATATACATATACATATACATATACATATACATATACATATATGTAGATGTAGATGTATGATTTTGATACTTACAAGACCCCAGGTTTCTGGCTCTGGGCAATTGCGAATGTCAGGATTGATACCCTCAGTCTTTGGTGTGACACACTGGGTGGCCGACCACCAACAGTAAGGGTCGTTGGTAGTATCATAGCCGACAAGATCGAGTCCACCGTTTGCACCGATGGTTCTGATTGGGACGTTGGGTACTTTGGACCAATCAATGGAATTGTAAAGATTTTGGAATTCTTGTGATGTATTCATGCCGTTGGAGGTTGCAATACCCCAGATAGTAGGCCATTCATCTTGCTTGACGACAAACTTGGATTGATAGTATTGACATTGTGTGGCCGTGTCAAGAGAAGTTGTCTGGGGGATATCAGGCATTTCAACTGTGGTTGGATCAACGCTGCTGGTGTAGTTTGTAACTGCAGAAGCATTTACACCAAGCATAGCAGAGAGAGCTAACAAGATGGCTGTAGGATATTGTTTAATCATCGTTCGTCAGCAAAGAGAGAGAGATAAAGAGAGAGAGTGTGTGTAGGTTTAAAGAGTTGAAGTGAGAGTAGAGAAATGGCTTGTGTGCAAGAGTGAGAGAGAGCAAAGAGAGCAAAGAGAGAAAAAGAGAATTAATAACCAAGAGACAGAAAGGACCAGATCTCGATAGGCTTGGTGTTTATATATAGTTTTGAGACTAATATATAGGATGCGGATCAAAGCAAATAGAAAAGGAGGAAAGCATTACTGGCTAATTACTCAAGCTAAGATGGGATATAGCTAAAATGTGGGCCGAATAGTCAGACAGACTGAGCTGAGGGTCGACAGTCAGACACAGACAGGGAGGTTTTCTGGGGGATAAGAGATGAGTTTAAAAACGTGCTCGTTGGAACTTCCTTTTTTAGGTTTAAATAAAGAATCGAATAAAAAAAAATTCATTCGTGCTCAAGAGGCGTTAAAGCAGTGTATATATAAGATATTATATTATATTATATTATATTATATTATATTATACATTATATTATATTATTTATAGTAATGGTAATGGCAATGGTAATGGTAATGGTAATGGTAATAATATACAAGTGTCTAGACATGTATGGCATGAATCATTATTAATTATATGGTTAATAGATTATATACTATAGGCAGACGTATAAATTTATATATATATCTGTATGTATGTATGTATGTATAGTTGTAGGTTATTATATTGCATTTCATTGTCTAGAAATAATTGTGTTTTTGATGTGTCTTGTCTAGTAACCAAATGCTATTGTTTAAATAAAAACCCTTGTTAAATAAATTATACCCATTAAAAATAGGCTGCTTATTAGAAAGTAAACCTGTAACCCCCTTCAACTTCCTTTATTTATTTTTTTTATTTTTTTTATCTCTTATACATCTTCACCAGATTATATTATATTGACTTTTGATCACCCCTCTTTTTTGACATTTACACCCGGTCTTAGTACGACACTTGGCATTTTCTATACAGTAGAAATCATAGGCAAATTGGTAACACCCTTCTTCAAAATAAGAAAAGCTCTTGTTTTTCTTTTTTTTTTTCTTCTTTACTTCTTTTACCTCTATCTGTGAAACATTCTCCGCCAAAAATAAATACACAAATATAGATCACCTTGTAGACTATACAGATATATCCTTTGATTAGCCTACAAGGGATCGACAATTTCATTGAAATAAAGAAAAAATGAATTAGAGTGGCATCCTTCTTTAAAGGGATAAGCCATGTGGGAACTCTCTTTTATTTATATATGTGGGTTTGTAAAAGGATTTTATATAGCAAGACTTGTTTTATTATTATTATTATTATTATTATTCATGTTGTTGTAGCTGGGCTTCTGTACTTGTAATTGCATAATTTTTTTTTATTTTTTTTTGCTGCACAGAACAACCCTTGTAAGCTATGATTTAAGTTGTAGCTGAGGTGCATATATCAATACAATCACACAACCAGACAAACAGAAACAGTACAAAATAAGGATCATCGAAAACAACGCGTTAAGATTAGATTAGCTTGTTGCTGATGTGAGCCAAAAAAAAAAGAAAAGTCAAATGTGATTACCACTCTATTCATAAACATATGTTTACATTTTAGTCTTGACTTCATAGATCTTTACTTGTGATTCATATCTTGATTTTTTTATTTATTTTTTTATTTTCAGTCAAAATTTAATATGTTTTAGCTGACATTATATAGTCTAGCTTCTTCTTTTTCTTCTTTTTTTTTTGTAGTCTAAAGTTTATGGATTTATGGGTTTATTGGTATTTATAGAAATCACAAACTTGGTAATTGACGCTAGACAATCTTTAAGATTCCAAACAAAAAAAAACAAACAAAAAAAATCCAAACAAATGACCAAGAAGCTAAATTCATACATACAACCAAAATGAATAAGCGCATAAGAGCAAGTATCAAGCAGATCGCGCCATTGAATAGGTTTTAAAACCATGGATACAGTCGGGTAAGTCAGTCGACCAACCAGTTAACCAGTTAACCAATTGGTGTCAGTCAGTTAGTCATTCAATTAGTTGGCTAGTTAACCAGTTAGTCAGTTGGTAAATGACCTCATTGATTTGCAAAAAAAAAGTTCAATATGAATCTCCGATTGTGGTTTCTATGACAATACCGATTGGATCAATTTCAAGTACTACAGTAAAGTGTTCTGTTCTTCAAGAACACGTACCTAAAATAAATAAAAAAAGATAAAGACAACGTTACAGATATATATTAATAAAACTAGACTATTATCGTAAAAGCTATTTCTGTCGAATATGGTTCCAGGAACCAAAATAATAATAAAGAGTAAGAATAGAAACAAACTACTGTGAATCTCAGCAAATCGTGTAAATGTAACATTTGATTTATTTTTAATTATTATGTGTATGTGTATGTATGTAAGTGTGTATGTAAGTGTATATGCGTATGTGTGTATGTGAATGCTTTTGTATGTATGTTTTTTGTATGTGCGTTTTTGTATATATAACTTTGTAAAAAAATAATAAAAAACAACGAAGAAAATAGAAATGGACAGATTGTGATAATGGAAAAATGGAAAATTACATGTAAATTGTATAATGTGTAGTGTATAGAGTGTATATAATGTATACTTATTCAGGACGATAGTTGAGATTTTCTTGAATGACTCTCAATGCATCCTGGAGATAGCTGATCACATCAGGCTCCCCAAAATTCTCTATGTAAGATAACGAGAATCGTCGAAGAACCTTTGTTCTATCAATCAAGATGATTTTTGTGCCGTATTCTGACAAGATAAGTTTTACTCCATCATAGAAATTGAACTATTAACCAACACACCAATAGGTTATTAATATAAGCATCTGTAATTGTTTTTCTTTGTTCTTCTTTTTCTTACTTGAAGAACATCGTTTGTGAGCTTAAAGACCATCAGGTTTCCATTGACCATAAATTTTGACACATAAACACCATTTCCTGTACTGGATAGAGGTGGATTTGTGGGAGATGACTCTCCAAGGTTCTCATTCATGTATTTTATAAATCTGTACATCAACATCGACTTCTTGAGGTATCTTTCTGGTACAACATCCTTGTGGTATGTTTGCAGAACAGCGTGCCGGTCATTGTTGGAGTATGTAAAAGTGCTAGAATACAATCCAAAAATAAAATGGCTGGCATTTGGTTAGATAGCTTTACCTTTCATTGTGTGTGATGCATATCGAATTGTCATTAAACAAAACACCCTTTGTTCCGTCCGTAAGTCCATAGCCAATGCCATATTTGCAGGTATAGTCGACCCATTTACTGACAAATATGGTACTGTAGTCCCACTCAAATGGCACATCCGGTGCAGGTGCAGGGTTGTGAACAGGGTGCTTAGAACGAATGTAAAGTGCATTCCGCAATGTCTTGTCCAGCATTTGTAAGAAAGGTGTAGTTGCAGTAGGAGGACGGAACCTTTCGATAGATGTCTTGGTGTCAACTAATAATAATAATAATATGCATTTTATGTTTATGTCTGTCAGCAGTTGAATTATCCGGAATTTTATTAAAAATATTACCTGGTCGTTCAGATTTCAAAGCATCTTTTTGATGATGCCGGTAAAGATCAGATCCTTGTGCAATTTGTGGTCTCGTAGGAACATAAACATCCGGTTGTTCTGATTTTGATACCTCGATAGTTTGGTTTTTTTCCAAAGAATTTTTGATAGGTTGAACAGGACGTGGAGATAGTGAGTTATCTTTTGCTCTTCTTTTACTTTTTGAAGCAATTGGATCTCTTATAAACATATTCTTGACATCCCGAGTAAACAGCGGCTCATCATCATCATCATCATAGTCATCATTATTATCGACTCTTTCTTTTTCTTTTTCTTTTTCTTTTTGGGTGGGATGCCTATTTTTTAAAGCCAAAGTTGTTGGCTTAGAGATTGCAGCAGTACCAGTATCTAATGTAGTTGTAGTATTTGTAGTAGGTGTAACAGCAGTAGCAGTAGTGATAATATTAGTATTAATAGTAGGAGTGGTATTGGTAGTAGGTACAGTATGTCCCGATCTAAAAGGTTTCCGCGTCAATCGACTTTTAAATGGCGTGAAATTATAATGGTTTGTGTCTTGGACTTGGCGCTTAAATAGTTCATGGTTCAATATTTTTACAGGTTCTGGAGTATGGCGTAGTGGAGGAGCTAGATTAACAGGCTCTGACACTGATTTTTCTAGTGTTAAATGTGGTGATTGTAATTTTGATTGTGATGGTGGCGATGATGGCGATGGTGTCAAACGTTTGTGGTTGACTGAATGTTCATTAGAGTACTCTTCCTTCACCTCAACCACAGGTTGATCCAAGTGATGTTTAGATCCTAAAGTCGGTTTGTAAAGTTCTCGAGTAGGTTTTCTGCCCAATTCTCGATTCAGGTATCCCCCAAACACAGGTGCTGGACGTGACGATAGTCCTGACGATGATTCTATCGAGGCAGGTTCAGGAGTATCATTCCAAAGTTTTCTTTGCCTTGTCTGTACAATTTGTTCACGTTCACGTTCACCCTCATTCTTATTCTTATTCCGTGAAAGAGAAGAGAGTGGCAAAGGTGTGGGAATATTTGGTGGCAAAGGGTTTCTTTCCAGACGATTCACCAAGTCGGCAGTAGTCGAGGGATATTGGACAAGATTGACTTTTTCTTCTTCTCCTACTTCTCCTACTTCTCCTACTCCTCCTCCTACTCCTACTCTTCCTCCTACTCTTTGGCGGTTTTCCGAAAACAACACTGGATCCAAATTTCGGCGGGGGTTTCCTACAATCGAACGATGTGTTTTTCGGGGTAACTGGAGATGTCCTCGACCAAGTTGTGCTGCAGGATCTGAGATAGGACGGGGATTTGGATGTAAAGATGGCTTCTGGACAGCTTCTTGGGTCAACCGACTCCTTTGTTCTACTGTAGGCTTTGGCACAAAGGGTGGGATGATCAAAGGGACGAGTTTCTGGTGTCCCTGAGAGCTGAGTCTCGGGTGTATAGAGTCTCTTGGAAGTTCATTCTCTTTGTCTGTTCTATTAGTTGCGTTCAAACCTAGCCTTTGGGTTGGTGCTTCCTTGGCTCGACGTCCCCGTTCTTCGTGAGGGGACGTCACGTCGCAATCGTTGTTGGTTTTTGAATAGACAGGGTTGGTGGGAGACCCGGTTGTGGATGGTTTAGGGTGGACATTTGGCTTAGAAAGGGGTTCTGGCTGGTGGGTCGTTTCAACCTTTCTCCGTTGTCGTGAACCTTGTGCAGCAAAAACACTACTTCTGGAAAATAAAGCAAGGTAGTATATTCATCCCGTGCGGAATATTAGTAAGAAAAAACTTGTAAAGTAAGATATTTAAATCTTGCATATATATGTATGTATGTATATAAAATAAGTGCATTAAAGTAGTGCTTGTGTTCGTACCTTTTTTGGCCTTTGGGAACCAAAGGATATTGATCCCACGGGTCATTTTCCACCCTTTGAGATGGAAACTGAACACGGTAGTCGGGCACTTGCTCTATCAGTATCGTGCACGTTACTTGAGACTCGATCTTCTTGAATAAAAATAAACTGTGGATCGGATTTTTACCTGAAAGTAATTCCAAGGGAGCCAATGATTGACGTTTACAATATTCAGTAGTACCATTGACAGCAGACCGAAGTAAGTCTACCGATTTCCCAGGAGGATTGGGGTTATCCAAGGAAGCACGAGGAAAGAGTTCTTGGATGGTAGGTTCACGGACAAGGGCAACACTAGGGATTCGTCTCGGTATTCCTCCGCGGAAAAAAGGGTGTTGAAGTACCTCAGGAACAGAGAGCCGCTCCTCTGGAATGAGCCAAGATGAGCAGGTAGTAAGTGGAAGCGGTAATAGTAATAGTAAATAGTTAATAGTTAATATTATTTGTATTAGTATTAGTATCAGTAATATTAGTATTTAAGATTAATATTAGTGGCAGTAGTAGTAATAAAAGATCTTTTTTTTTTGTTTTAGTTTCCTTGGCTTCCTTGGCTTCTTTGGCTTCTTTGGCTTCTTTTTCTTTTTCTTTTTATAGTTTTGTATCTGTTTGCCACTTGATAAGATTCAAAAAGAAGTTGTATTTCTTACTTGGATCATTGACAAGAAGACGAGCAATAAGGTCTTTTGCTGCATCTGATATAGGATGTTCTGATGGAAATCCATAAGATGCTTCATGGGAGTTATTGCGTATCTTTCTGGTTGATAGAAGAAAAGAAGAAGAAAAAAGATGCAGGTGAGATGAGGTTGCATACAGTGATACAACTAGCTTGTAAGAAACGTAGAAACAGAAATAGTAATAGTAATTAAGCTTACTTGTAGATATCCCGAAGTTCACTCTGATGGAAGGGATGTCGGCCAACAAGGAGAGTATATCTTTATTTTATTTTTATTTTTATTTTTATTTTCATTTGTAATTTTGTTTTATTTTAACAAACAGGAGTTGAGTGTACAAAGTTTATTGGGGTTTTATTGGCAATGGAATAGGAGGCAACTTACGTTAATACACCGATTGACCAGATATCTACCTTGTAATCGTGTCCTTCTTTACCAAACAAGATTTCCGGGGCAATGTAATTGGGAGTACCGCATATTGTCCTGCAATAGATCAATAAAGCCCCCTCATCAACTAATGAGTCTTCAATTGAATCCAAAATGTTTGTTTTTTGTTTTTTCATTTCATTTCAAATTAAATTAAATTAAATTAAATTAAATCAATTCAATTCAATTCAATTCAATTCAACAAATTTCAATTGATTTTCGTTTTTACCTCTTCCTGTCTTCAGTGCTCAACAAAAGAGCAGATAAACCAAAGTCTCCCACCTTGACATCAAGATTTTTATCAAGCAGAATATTTCCAAGCTTAATGTCACGATGAATGACTCTATTCTCATGCATGTAACGACATGCTTCTAATATTTGGATGAGAATATAACGGACTTCTGGCTCAGTCAATCTTCCCCGAGCTTTCATAAGCTCAGCTAGAGTCTGATAATACAAAACATACACACAAATATATAAATATGTATACATTTTTTTTTAAAAAAAAATTCAAGATAACAACAACAATGATATTATAACAATATTACACGCGCATAAACTTGCCTTGTTGTGACATAATTCGACAATCAGATAAACATTGGTTTGGTCTTCAAAGCAGCTGTCAAAGCGAATGATGGAATTGTGGTTCATTGATCGATGAATGTTGATCTCTGCTAGTAATTTCTCCTTGTTTTTACTTTGTCGTAATGCAGCCTTGGTAATGACTTTTGCCGCAAACCATCGTTCATCCTCGCCTTGCACTTGGTATACTCTTGCAAATCCTCCCTAAAAGCAAGCAGGATGAGACAAAAGTGATCATCTAGATTGGGTTGTAGTTATTTCCTTTTATATACTTTATATATATTTGTATATATTTAATACAAATGTAGATTAATAGATTTAAATAATATATATAAATATATATATAAATTATACACATAATATTATTAATGTTTTTTTTTACCTCTCCAAGGTATGTACCCTTTGTATATTGTTTTCCATGTTTTCTGTCCCAAAGAACGTTGGGAACATCCTTGTCAGCTACAAGATGAGGTTTGTCCACACGTCTAGGCGGAACAGGATGATTTGCGGGGGGTAATTGTGCTACTGGTCGATTGGTGTTATTTGTGGGTGTGCGGGATCTAGGTTGCAATGGCTGCAATTGCTGCAATGGTTGCAATTGTTGACGGATCCTTGGCCAGCGACTGTGCTTTGGGATTGATTCCATTGGCTCCAGCTGGAGACGCTGGTATGCTTTTGGCAGAGGATTAGGATCGTATGACTCAGGCTCTAACTGGATCTGCCGTCTTGCCGTGTTAGATTCCGAGGTTCTCTGCCTGAGTCCGTCCATTCTTACAATCAATCTCGTTCAAAGAAAGAAAGATAGAAGAAAAAATTGACACAAGAGTCAAGCGTAGAAAGTAATGGAGATGCTTATCTATAAACGCTATGCTTTGTTTTGTTTTTGTTTTTTTGCTTTCTCTTTCTTTCTTTCTCTCTTTCTCTCTTTTCTAATTATTTCTTTTTTTTTTATTTTTGATTTTTTTTGTTCAGTTATTGGTTTATTGGCTTATTGGTTTCGTTGGTAGTACGTGTATTGAAAGGGTTTTGAAAGAGTTGTATCTTTTGGGGTTTGTCTTTGGGAATTTGGTTTTTGTTGTTTTGAGTTTTTGGGACTTGTAAAATCCAAGTCTCCGATATCTGCTTTAACGTACCTTTTTGGTTTATTAACAAAAGCCAAAGACATAAACAAAGAAGATATACTTTGGGATTTTCAACAGGAAACTCAATTATATATTCAAATACATGTGTCTTTATATACACATACACACATATGTATGCAAAAGGAAGTAAAGAAGAAGTAAAAAAAATACATGTAAATTCACATTAACTTAGTATTTTACTTTGACTTTATTAAGAAAATAAATAAGAATATGAACTCGAGAGGTAATGCTGTTATTGTTTATAAGAAAACCTAAATGGTGCTTTGGGTCATTATATGTACAATCTGTGTATAAAGCATAATAGTGGATCAGAAAAATTACTCAGCAATATGTAAAAATTAAAATTAAATACAGCACAATACGATTCCATCTTATACATGCTGTTAATTTTACTTAATAAATATAAAGAAAAGGCAGAGAATTCACATAAAGATTTGAAGGGTCCCAATTGACTGTTTGTATTCAGAGAGACTTGTCTTTGTCTTGATTTATAAAAGCATCAAATTTAGTGTATATATATATAATAAACACTGAACAATAAAGACTGTTAATATTATATCCCTCCCAAATTACATTTATCTGTTGTTACTAGAGTTCAAAAGGAGAACCTTACGAACGTGTTCCATGTTCTCTTGTGATTAAAAGGCTAATGAAGAAGCCCAAGAAATAGAGAAGAATAAATGAACCTATTAAATATAACTATGTTTTTTTTTCTGAATTTTGTATTGAAATAAATTACATTAGCTTCATATAAGACACGGACAATACTCAATAGAAAGATTAAAATAAGCTGGCCTGTCTCATGGTGCTCTAGCGCATTTACAAATGCATTGTAGTCATCACCCCCTCATTCGTTCCTCACCTCTTCACGAATCCTTTCGTTTAATATGATCAGTTAATATCGTCTTTTTGTTTCAATTGGTTACAAAATTTATTCCATAGGAATAAGTTTGAGAATTCCAACTACCTAAAATGATCACTTTCTTTTTGGTCAGGTCAAATCAGATCAAATCAGATCAGATTTATTTATTTACTTGGTTTGTGCATTAATTACATCTGCACAGATCTTAAGCCAAACATTGGAAAAGTATATGCACATTATCTATTTGCACCACATAAATTCATCTAACCAACACTCGGCCTAATAACAACAACACTTCCCATCAAAAATATAAATATAAAGCAGCACACACAAAACCCAATCAAAGTGATATCTTGTATCAATTCAAACAAAAGAGGGTAAAAAGAAAGAAAGAAAGAAAAAAGATAATATATACGCTCCATTCGATGTGCGGAATTGTAATGTCTTTAGCAAAGCAAACTTAGTTGGTATTCGGACTACTTTTACTTGGTCTTGATCATTCTCAACTTTCCAGCAGAGAATTTGTAGTTGTCTGCATAAGACTTCTTTACGAACTTGGCAACCTTGGGCTCCACAACCTCGTATCTCCATCCTAATTTATTTATTTTTCGTATATATACACACACGCAGATGGAGATAGATATAAATAAAAGATCAATAAAATATTATGCATATAAATATGTATATAATCAACTCACCCTCCTTTTCGGCAAACTTGATAGCAGCTTCCTTGGTGGGGAACTTCATGGCCAAAGACTGCATATAATCGGAACTAGAGACACCAAATCGAATAAAGAGTTACATTTCATAGAATAATAATAATAAAAAGATTATCATTAGTATTAATTAATTAATTATTTATTTATTTATTCAATTGAAATTAAATTAAATTTAATTTAATACACACACACACATATATATATATATATATCGCTATTAATATTACCTAGAAGCCCAACCCATCAAAGGGTTCTCCCAACGGTTACCGTCTTCCAAAATATCAAATTCGACTCTCCAGGTTCTGCTGCCGTTCTTGCCTGACTGAGTGGCAGTCTTTGCGGGTCTGAAGATGCGTGCAACACGTTCGGTAACCAATTCCTCTATACACAGCCAAAAAGAAACAATTATAATAGTATTATATATATAATTTAATATTTATTTATTAAAAATTCATATATAAATTTTCATCCACTTTGGCTATTGCCTTTCTTTAATGAAGTCTTTTTCTTTTTTTTTTTACTTTCTTATTTATCCTTTTGGAAACCAAGCACACACACACAGATATATATACATGTGCATACAATTGCATATAAAACAATTACACGCATAATTTTTTTTTTTCAAAAAAAAATGTATTGAATATTCTAGATGCTTAATTTACAAATAACATAAAAAAAAGAGGATGAAATTCTTAATTACCGGGAGCACCGGTCAAGATATCAACATTAGCAATAGAATTCTGCGATGTCTGGATGATTTCCTTGTTTTGGGAAATCATACGACGACCAACAGTGTTCCAGGCAGTGGGTGCTGCGAGAGAACGGAAGAGTGAGGGGGTGTTTTTGGTAATCAATGCAGACATGGGCTTATCACGTAGAGAGAGTTCTGTTTTTTCGTTTGTTCGCAAAGCTGGAAAGGAAAAAAGGGAAGGGGGTCATTTGTGACGTGCGGTTTGTTTTGCATTTTAAAACACCGGAATTTCTTTTTTTTCCAATTTTTTGAAATTTCATCCATTTTTATTTCACATAAAATAAATAAATAAATATATAAAAAAAAACAACATCTATTAGCAGAAAGAAAGAAAAGAATAAGAAGAAAAGAAGTGTCATAAGAGAAATGTCAAAATATTTCCTTGTATTGCTATACAAATATATTTATATATTTATATATATATATATAATATGTACTTTGAGGTAAAGATTGATTCGAATTTCTTAGTAGTGAAGATTCATGGTTCAGTTGAAGAAAAGTGTGTAAAATGTGTAAAATGTGTAAAATGTGAGAAATTGTTTCAATTCTATAATGCATATATGAAAGAAAAAAAATACATATTTCAATTCTTATTTTCTTTTGTATGGGGTACAATATATTTATATAGAAGATAAAGAGAGAAAGAGAGTGATAGAGAAATAGCAATAAGAAAAAAAAAAGAAATGTAGCTTGTTTGTAAAAGTTTTAAAAGAAAATCTTTGTGTGAATGTGTAAGTGGGTATGGAGAGGTATGGAGAGGTATGGAAAATCTAATTAATATGGCAATAGTGAAGTGTAAGAATCGAGTTGCGCAGTACTAAAAGGAGTTCGATAAACATCTTGCGCAGATGCAGACTCAAACCACTGGTCCCACAATAACCTTTCGACAGGTGTTTCTATATTTGCCGACAGATACTGGTTTTGGATCACAGGAGCAGAAATAGTAGTATCAGTAGCAGAAGTAGCAGAAAGAGATTGAGGAGGAAGATGAGGAGGAAGAAGAGAAAGAGGAGGCTGATTATAGAGCTGCGGATAGGACTGAAATGGTTGTTGTGGTTGTAAAAATGCTTGAGTTTGCAAAGACCACCCAAGGTCTCCACTCCACAACATAGCTTCAAAAGCAGGATCTAATTGAGTTGGAAAGGGCTCATAACTGGAACTGCTCAAGATTGGATCTGAGATAGGGCTTGGCAAGCAAGAAGACGATGCTGATGATAAGGACGATGACGGTGAAGATGAAAATGATGATGATGATGATAAAGACAAAGGCGAAGATGAAGATGTAGCGGCTATAGCTAGAGATAGGCTTTGAGCTTGAGTTTGAGCTTGATCTTGATCTTGAACTAATATTGGAGCATGGGCTAAATCTGGAGCTTGAACTGACGTTGGAGCTAGAGATTGGGCTTGGGTTTGGACTTGGCGTCGAGTTGAAGCTGGTGTGGATACCTTGAGTACGCGCCTCTTGACATAGTAGCGTGTACCAGGCATTCTTAGATGAACTTGGGCAACCCCAAAGTAAACTCTGGCTGGCGAAGGCAGGTTGGAATCTCGAATTGTAATGTAATGGCTTGCCTGGCGTGATCGTCGCTGACGATAAGCTAATTCAATAATTGCATGGTTTGAGTGATCAAACTCCATGAAATAAGTGTTTTCGAGCATGAATCCCCAGACGACCTTGGTGTTTTTTGTTTCAATTGGCATTTTATGATCTTTAAGAATGACAGAGCAAAGGACGCTAATAAATTCATTTTCGTTGGCCTTATTTAAAGAGTTTAGAGGCCAAAAAATATGGTGCCATATGCAACACAGCGTGTTTGAATTCGAATTAGTTGAAGCCCAAGTCATTTGCATTACTATTAATATTATTATTATTATTATCATTATTATTACTACGATTATATTTTTTATTATTATCTCTTTGGACCTTTTAGCTTTTAATGAGCTGTAGTCAATGATAGGCTAGACGATCTATCTGTTATTGGTCATGCTCCATATGTAATATAGCACAGTTTAAGGTCCAAAATAGATACAAACGCTTGTCAAGCAATATGAGATACATATATATGTGTGTATATGTATATATAAGGTCTTAAAGATGCTGTGGCGAGAAACAACAATTATAAAGATTATCGGCTCTTTTCTGTAAATGTCAGGCCTCGGAAGATACAGAAATCCTTACTGAACAAACGTTAAATACGAATTCATGTATTTCTTTCGTTTTTCGTTTTCTCTTCTTCCTCTTAAAATGAATAGACAATGCCTGTTAATATTGGATAGAATAATGCTACTTGATGCAAGCAATTGATATCATATAAAGCGCGTGTGCAATTTAACATGCATTTCAATAATTAATTCATTGGATATTATTTACAGCTCTAACCACGTCAAGTGAACAAGCTCTTATATATAACTGTGCAAGGCAAAAGCAAGAAGCTCTAATAAGCACATTTACATTTCTGGTCTAGACCTATGATATAATTGCATCACTTACTATGTAATGTCTTCTAAGCTTTCTAAAATATTTCTCTTTTAATTTCTTTTTTTTGTGTATTGGAAGGAAGAAAGTTTGATTGATTTTGCTCATTCCAAACCTTACAATTTAAGATAAGGCGCAATTTATTGGGGAGGATAAATTGATGGGTAAATTAATATAGAGCAGCAGAGAAACAAAAAAGGTACGTTATCAAATATAGCCCTCCGGTTAACTTCCCAGATTTTGGAAAGGGTCTTATCTAAGACATGATGCGGACCTGTAGTTTGGGACCAAACGTGGGAGTTTATGAATATAAATAGCAGGAAGGGTGGAGGATGGATTGGTCGGTGGCTCGGGCATCCACGATGGCAGGGTAATATCACAAGCTTTCCATACATCATATACTGTCAGACTCGAATGAGACTTAAGGTATTTATGGCGGTCCTTGAGATTAAGCATACTATATATATATTTATATTTATATTGACATTGGGAATAAAATAAAATATAGTATTTATTTTTTTGAGTCTTGCTGAAATTTTGAAACAGTATCCGGTATTTTACTTCTTCTTTTTTCGTTTTACTTTTCTCATATTCAAATTAGTGAATGCCAGGTCTACTTATTAGAAGAGGCGTTTATAGTGCTTTTAATTAGGTCACTCCTTAAATTAGGTCATAAACTCGACAAAGATGATCAATGAAAATCCTTAGTAAAGGAAGAAGAAAAATACGAAAATAATAGTAATGCATAAAACTATTGGATAGTACGTTTTAAGCCATTGGATTTTCCAACTAGATATCCCTAATTTTAAAAGTACCGGAGATCTAGCATACTAGAATTAGACGTTCCTAAGTTGATACATTATTAGAGGTATTTGTAGTATACACACCACAATTAAGTGAAGAACAGACTCCATAATCAAACATTGGTTCCTTCTTGCTACTGAACCAGGTGTATGTTCTTGGTGAGGTATTTGGGATTGTTTAGGAGTTAATATCTCAATATTGGTAAAAGTAAATACTATAAAGTGTTATTTATTTAAGACATAAAATAATATTGTTTTTATCTGTTACTGTTAAAATTCTTGTTGTGTAATGGTTGGTTTACACTGTATGAGTGTGTAGTGTACATGTGCCAGGTGTATAACAGTTCCGGAGATTGTTAGCTTACCAGGTTCATTAGCAAGAAGGAACCAATGTTTAGTTGTGAAGTCTGTTCTTCACTCAATTGTGGTGTGTATACCACAAAAGTCATTCCGAGCGAAGTAAATTGACATTTTGATCAATATTAGAGCAATTAATACCAAACAACTTTAGCACTGTGGATCTTACCATGTCTCACCAGGCTACTTATGCATACAAAAAGACTTTGCTTAGTCAATTTATATTTATAGCGGATTTTCTGTTTAAAAGTCGTTTTTAGAGCTGTGGTATACACACCACAATTGAGTGAAGAACAGACTCCACAACTAAACATTGGTTCCTTCTTGCTAATGAACCTGGTAAGCTAACAATCTCCGGAACTGTTATACACCTGGCACATGTACACTACACACTCATACAGTGTAAACCAACCATTACACAACAAGAATTTTAACAGTAACAGATAAAAACAATATTATTTTATGTCTTAAATAAATAACACTTTATAGTATTTACTTTTACCAATATTGAGATATTAACTCCTAAAAAATCCCGAATACTTCATTATCAACTCTTCTGATAACTTTGGCCCCTTTATCGTTACATTTGATTATGAATTGTGATGAATTGAGCTTAATTACACCCCTTCATTGACTCTTTGGCAAGGTTGGCTTATGATCTGGAATATGTGAGCCAAAGCCTAAACAGACGAGATATCTGATAATTGTCTCTCTACAGATGAATATTTCTATTTTCTTTAAAGAGGCTCTTCGCCTAGAGTATGCGGCAAATTGGGTTCTTTCGAACCACTTGCACAAATTATATTACTGTCTTCTCACTAATCTTTCTAGGTCCTACAAGCCGCTTTCTTGGGTCTGAAGATTTTATTTTAACTATTCTCTTAATGATGTACTTGACATTAGGCAGGCTCATGCCAACAGCCTATGAAATCTGAATTACTTTGACATCTGCTTAATGCATGTATACAATGCATTCGTCTTAGTAGGAATCCTATTTTTCAAAAGGAACATGTGTGTTTTCTGATGATGTGTCTTGCATGTTGGATTAGATTATTAAAATGAGCAAAAAAACAATGCTCATGTTTTTATTTTTTGCGGGTGTCAAAACGATTTAGATTGTGAGTCTTTAATCTTTTGACAGAGTAATTAAAAACTAGAGTTGACTTTAATAGATAGATTTCAAAAACGCGTATAATAATATTATATACTATTTCACTTCATTTGTTTAAATAAAGTATATGTAACTTTGATTTTATTAAGGTCTTTTATATATTGATAAAAAAAATTAAAAAAAAAAAACAAAAACAATTAAAGTTGGTGAACACTCAAGCCTAGAGCTTTGCTGAGCGGGTTCAAGGTGGTACCTTGGCTTTACTTTATCTAAATATTCAAAAAAGTTAAGATTAGTATATTGTCAATGAATGTTTTTATTTATTTATTACATACCTGCTATAAATAAAAATATTGCTTATCTTGAGGTATGGTCAGCTCAAGATTCTCTCGCAAAAACGAGAGAGACCCGGTTGGAGATTATTATCACCTTAATAAGCCGCTAGGCAGATAGAGCCACTGGCTAGCACACAAAAGTGTAAGGTGTGTTCGCCACTACGTCCCACCAAGCGTTTAAGTCAGAAAACCCTCAGAGTTTCCCACGTTTTGTATAAGAGAAAAAAAGCAGCATCCGCCATCAACATTACAATCAGATTATGCAACAGGACCTCTTCCCAACCGAGGTTGAGAAATTAAGGCCGCTTACAAATGCCACGTCATGCGCAGAAGACTTGAGATGACTACAATCTAACATCGAACACGCATGGCAGAAAACCCTCAGATCCCTACGAAATACGCGAGGCATAGACTGACAAGCTCTATACCGCATCGATAATTAAGCATAGTTACCGGGACCACAGCTTATTATTGACTTGCATCTTTGTACAAGATAGAATGATAATATCTGATTTTACTGTATCAATTAAAATGGAGAAGATACAAACCGCGAGTAAAGAAGAAAATTAAAAAATCCCATTCACTCCCTCGTTTTAAAAGAAAATTTTTTTTCTTCAAAGCCATCTGGGCGTAAAAGTAAAAGTCACGGCGCATAAAATAAACATCGGGTTCTGAACAAAAAATGCGCCCATATTCTTTTATCAGCATGTGATATATATAAGCCTCTCAAATACCAGTGAAGAAGTACTATTTTGCAAAACGATTCTTATAAGTAATACATTATATAATTGAGTCAATCGTAATAGCAATTACAGTTATTGTATATTGATTGGTTTACTTGTAATAATGCAATTGAAAGTACATTTTAACTTTTTATTTCTTTTTTATTTTATTTTCATAAATATTCGAGTCGTAGAGATGTTTTAAATGGAGTTGTTAAATAAACCAATTATTTGGATTCCACATTGAAATTCCAAGTTACATGATTTAATAAATATATATACGTATTTTGAAAGTATATTTCTAGCAAGAAGTTGTATGCTACGTAAATATTAGTCTTCACATATAGACTTTTTAATATCTCTCACTCATAAATAAACAAATCCTTTGAGAGGCTTATATATATCACATGCTGATAAAAGAATATGGGCGCATTTTTTGTTCAGAACCCGATGTTTATTTTATGCGCCGTGACTTTTACTTTTACGCCCAGATGGCTTTGAAGAAAAAAATTTTTTCTTTTAAAACGGGGGAGTGAATGGGATTTTTTAATTTTCTTCTTTACTCGCGGTTTGTATCTTCTCCATTTTAATTGATACAGTAAAATCAGATATTATCATTCTATCTTGTACAAAGATGCAAGTCAATAATAAGCTGTGGTCCCGGTAACTATGCTTAATTATCGATGCGGTATAGAGCTTGTCAGTCTATGCCTCGCGTATTTCGTAGGGATCTGAGGGTTTTCTGCCATGCGTGTTCGATGTTAGATTGTAGTCATCTCAAGTCTTCTGCGCATGACGTGGCATTTGTAAGCGGCCTTAATTTCTCAACCTCGGTTGGGAAGAGGTCCTGTTGCATAATCTGATTGTAATGTTGATGGCGGATGCTGCTTTTTTTCTCTTATACAAAACGTGGGAAACTCTGAGGGTTTTCTGACTTAAACGCTTGGTGGGACGTAGTGGCGAACACACCTTACACTTTTGTGTGCTAGCCAGTGGCTCTATCTGCCTAGCGGCTTATTAAGGTGATAATAATCTCCAACCGGGTCTCTCTCGTTTTTGCGAGAGAATCTTGAGCTGACCATACCTCAAGATAAGCAATATTTTTATTTATAGCAGGTATGTAATAAATAAATAAAAACATTCATTGACAATATACTAATCTTAACTTTTTTGAATATTTAGATAAAGTAAAGCCAAGGTACCACCTTGAACCCGCTCAGCAAAGCTCTAGGCTTGAGTGTTCACCAACTTTAATTGTTTTTGTTTTTTTTTTTTAATTTTTTTTATCAATATATAAAAGACCTTAATAAAATCAAAGTTACATATACTTTATTTAAACAAATGAAGTGAAATAGTATATAATATTATTATACGCGTTTTTGAAATCTATCTATTAAAGTCAACTCTAGTTTTTAATTACTCTGTCAAAAGATTAAAGACTCACAATCTAAATCGTTTTGACACCCGCAAAAAATAAAAACATGAGCATTGTTTTTTTGCTCATTTTAATAATCTAATCCAACATGCAAGACACATCATCAGAAAACACACATGTTCCTTTTGAAAAATAGGATTCCTACTAAGACGAATGCATTGTATACATGCATTAAGCAGATGTCAAAGTAATTCAGATTTCATAGGCTGTTGGCATGAGCCTGCCTAATGTCAAGTACATCATTAAGAGAATAGTTAAAATAAAATCTTCAGACCCAAGAAAGCGGCTTGTAGGACCTAGAAAGATTAGTGAGAAGACAGTAATATAATTTGTGCAAGTGGTTCGAAAGAACCCAATTTGCCGCATACTCTAGGCGAAGAGCCTCTTTAAAGAAAATAGAAATATTCATCTGTAGAGAGACAATTATCAGATATCTCGTCTGTTTAGGCTTTGGCTCACATATTCCAGATCATAAGCCAACCTTGCCAAAGAGTCAATGAAGGGGTGTAATTAAGCTCAATTCATCACAATTCATAATCAAATGTAACGATAAAGGGGCCAAAGTTATCAGAAGAGTTGATAATGAAGTATTCGGGATTTTTTAGGAGTTAATATCTCAATATTGGTAAAAGTAAATACTATAAAGTGTTATTTATTTAAGACATAAAATAATATTGTTTTTATCTGTTACTGTTAAAATTCTTGTTGTGTAATGGTTGGTTTACACTGTATGAGTGTGTAGTGTACATGTGCCAGGTGTATAACAGTTCCGGAGATTGTTAGCTTACCAGGTTCATTAGCAAGAAGGAACCAATGTTTAGTTGTGGAGTCTGTTCTTCACTCAATTGTGGTGTGTATACCACAGCTCTAAAAACGACTTTTAAACAGAAAATCCGCTATAAATATAAATTGACTAAGCAAAGTCTTTTTGTATGCATAAGTAGCCTGGTGAGACATGGTAAGATCCACAGTGCTAAAGTTGTTTGGTATTAATTGCTCTAATATTGATCAAAATGTCAATTTACTTCGCTCGGAATGACTTTTGTGGTATACACACCACAATTGAGTGAAGAACAGACCCCACAACCAAACACTGGTTCATTCTTGCTAATGAACCTGGCAAGTTAACAATCTCCGGAACTGTTTCACACCAGGAACACGTACACTACACACTCATACAGTGTAAACCAACCATTACACAACAGGGATTTGAATTACAGGGATTTTAATAGTAGCAGATATAAACAATATTATTTTGTCTCTTTAATAAATAACACTCTTACAGCATCTACCTTTTCATATATTGAGATACTAGCCCCTAAACAGTCCCGAATACCTCATATAAGATCATATAAGATCATATATATATAATTCTATTATTTTTATTACTACTGTTAGGGGAGTTCAGCAGTCCTATATACTTTTTTTTTCATATATATATTTATACATTCGAGTTTAAGTTACAGATGTTGTTAGCCTTAATTGATTTACAAACATAAAAGTCTATTTTTTTTAAAAAGAAAAATAAATGAAGAAAGGTTGGCTAGAGATTTTATAAATCAAGCTTATATCTATGGTCACCCGAACACAAGAAATAATAGTGCATTTACACTAGTATAAGGTGAAGTAGGATTAAGAAACAAATGCACAATTTGGAGACAACTCCCTTTTTAGAATTATATTCATTGCTAAAGGGATTCTGAACATCTAGCCTATTTTTGGGCCCATATTGCGAATATGTTTTTGGGAATACGGATCAAGCATTTCAAGACCATTTGCTTTATTCACACGGTTGTGTTGAAAGGAGCAGTACCCTTTATTTTATTTTTTCTAAATTCCAGCTGCAGTTACTTGGCGTATTCTACGCCGTACACATGGCATAAGATTTTTATTTACCAACTGGCATGGTTGGCAGTGATACCAGTACAAAGTCTATATATATCCATAAATATAAACTAATTCACAAAGCTTTGGGATTTTTTTTTAAAAAAAAAAACAACAGCCTTCCAATTATATATGATTTGTGTTCAATAATGTGTGGATACAAAAAATTAACCAAACCTATTGGCATATCTATATGTATACAATGGTGATGAGCTAATACCCGAAGATTCAACTGCCAAGAAGATTGATCTAATGACTAACCTTGGCACCCGAGTTCAATTCTTGCTTTTAAAAAAAATGAATTGATTTTAATATATTGCTCATAAGGATATACTTTGGTCTGAGCGATATTGAAACCAAAAGGTCATATTTGAAGTATACACATAAGTAGAAGTACAATGTCTGACTGTGTTAGATTTTGGGATGTTACTGAAGAAACACCCAACCCAACTTTACAGCGAATTTGACCGGCTTAATTGTAATTAAAGGAAGACAGAAAAGTTACTGATTGATGGGTGGAATAGCATAGGATTTTTCTTAAGCTACAGTAAGTATGCCCACCCACACACTTTTATGAAAGCATAGGCAAAGTGTCGAATTGATTATGTTCCAAATTGTATTAGAAACAATAATATATGTGATTATAATGACGATACTGATAATGGGTTATTTTGATCAAAGTGTATCAAAATCGATTATAAATCATCTAAACCTTTTCGCACATATACATATACATATATATATTCACGTATGTATTGCTACATAAAAGGCAAATAAAACAACACGGGAAATAAATGAACATAGCTTTTTAAACATTTTTACTTTGAAAAGGTAGTAAGAAAAAAAAAGTTTTTAAAATAAGAATAGTATAAACTGTCTTTATTTAGTGAATTGTACTGATTAAGCAATATATTTTTGTATCTTGGCATTTATCTCAAGAAATCAGACCCTTTAATTACAATATTAGATAGATTAGGGGTTTTTTTTTGCTTGGCTCGTATTACTTGAGTGCCAAGAAGTTTAGGGTATCACAGATTTACAGAACCGATATTTTACATTCTGTGTGCTACTTATTATTATTTATAGCTGAAAGAGAGAGAAAAAGAAAAGGAGGAGTCATATCCTTAGTTACCATTACCATTGCCATTGCCATTGCCATTATCATTGTTCTTGTTATCCTTATTTAATATATATAGTTAAAATTTCTTGTATACTATATGATTAGATCTAATACTTTTAATTTATATTGGGTAATATACTCCAAAATACCCTTTATTACTATTAGGGCTACTAATACTATCACTATGGAGAACCAGAGGATGATTCCGATTATGACATCAAAAAGAAAAAGAAAAATACCAAGGATAATTTCTTTTTTTCTCTCTCTCTCTCTCTTCAATATCACTATGGAAATCATTACTCTTTTCCCATAGTACTAGTAGTGTTACCAGTGTTACCAGTGTTATAATTGTGTAAATGAAACATACCTTTTGCTTCTTCTTATTTTGGTTATTTTTTTTAATAATAGCACAGTAATTCAAGGATAATGCATTTAAAGTTTGTACAGCTTATTTTGAAGCTCTTGGAAGTTATATCAAATAAACTTAGATTGTCATCTAAGCCCACCTTAATGAAGTGATATGTAAATTTTCTTAGAGATCGAAATGGAGTTTACGGTTGAGAAACCTAAGCAAATAAGGGTATATAAAGAGGGTGATATTTCATTCTTTTATAGACATAGATATATACTTATACCTTCTTCTTCTCCGTTGCCCTTAAAAAAAGTCAAACTACTAGCATTAATAATGTCGAAAAACTTGAATGATTATGATATCGTTGTTGCTATAGGTAAAAGCAATTTTTTCTTTAAAAAAAAAGAAATTAGTGATCTCTTTCAATTGAAAATAAAGAGCTTTATATTAACATAACTCCTTATAATATCTCTACTTAGATTTTGGAACAACTTATTCTGGCTACTACATACTAGAAATAAATAATGAGATACCTTATTTAGAAGAATAGTAAGTTTACAACCCAAATTCCATACAAATTTTATAAATGTGTGTAGGTGTATACATATCTAATAATTTATGTTGATATTATGTACATACAGCTGGGGAAATGACTGGAAAACTAAAGAGGCAGTGTCTGCAATGACCTATAGATCATTCACAAAGACATTCTACTATTGGATCAGATCGTTTTTCTATAAGAATGATGGTAATTAAATGTGCAAAAAAAAAACAAAAGAATTAGGGTACCATTCTTTTTTTTTTTTTTTGGTCCGAGCATTAGATTTTTGTTACTATCATCATTTCTTCTAACAGTAAAAGTAGAAGATCAAGATCAAGATTCATTGCAGTATGTAAGCAGAGTCAAGATCTTGTTGGACAAAGCCATCAAGGAAGATCTTCCACCTTTACCACCAGGATGGACTCTAGCAAAAAGTAAAGATTTAATGAATTTGATGTATAAATCAGATTATATATATATAAAAGAATAAAACCAAGTATAATTAGTGTTTAATACCAACAAAATAATAATAATTTGTTTCTTAGCTATTGCCGATTATTTGCAAGAGATGCGCAGACCTATCTTTAAAGACATCCTCAAAAGATTTCCTGCCTGTGCTGATCCTTCAAGATATCGGTATTGTATGACTGTTCCAACCATGTGGTCCGATGAGTCCAAGGGTATCATGAGAGAGGCCGCGATACTGGCTGGTTTTATCAAGGCCCAGGACGAACCCGGCCGGCTTTTGATTGTTGATGAGACGCTGGCATCAGCCCTGTATTGTGAGCGCACATATCCTGGACTGGAGTTCCCGGATGGCAGTCTTTGCATGATCTGTAATGCTGGTGGTGGGACAGTAGATCTGGCGACATTTGAAAAGGATGGTTCGTCTGGAACACATGGCATAAAAGAGGTCACGGTCGGGTCTGGGGTTACCTGTGGGTCGAGCTTTTTAGACATTGAGTTTGAAGCCATGTTGAGAGAAAGGGTTTCTAACTACCCCAGTTACACCGAGAATTATATACAGCTTAGTTTGGCAGCATTTGAGCAAATCTTCAAGGTAATTTACATAAACATATATACATATATATTTTTAAAGAAAAATTGAAACGCAATAATACGATAATTAACTTGTGTACATCTGTGTGTGCCTAATAGGATGAATTTGATGGATATGGAAATAGTTTGGCAGATATACTGCATCCAGGACAGACTCAAAACTATATCCATACTTATCCATGGATCAAGAACGATGATGGGTTCACGACGGACGAGATGCGCACCAGGTTGTTTGACCCATTAGTAGATCAGATCCTTGGGGCGATGGAAAAACAGTTTGGACAGCTAGAAGACCAGAGACAGCTGGATGTCCTGTTTATTACCGGAGGATTTGCAAACTCGCCATATTTGCAACACCGGATCTTTGAGACTTTTAAGGACCGAATCAAGGGGTTCCATATCCCAGAGGGTATACAGCTCAGTGCAATGAGAGGAGGAGCTTTGTTTGGGATCAAACCCAGTTCGATTACGCAACGTATCTTGCGTCGTACATATGGCATCAAGCTGTACTCGCCTACTGACGAGGCTTGGGATAACTCTTGGCTTGAGAAAGACAGGTTTCATGTGTGTATCTACAAAGGTGAAGCGGTGGATGATAACAAGTGGATTACCAGAAAGGTTGTTTGGAATAAAGAAGTACTTCCAATCATATGTAAGTCTCATTCTCTATCTGCTTTTGTTTTGATACTAAAATGTATATGTATGTTGTAGCATTGTGTGCATATGATGGTAGCAATGAATCGGTTCCAGAGTATCCAAGGGCTAAAGAGGTCAATTTGGTGACTATTTTTGATACCAAAGCTCGGCTTGATTCAAGAGAGCAGGTTACGAATGGAGTGTTGGTTGCAAATATATGTTTTGGGGTGGACAAGATCAGAGTCAAGGTTGATCTTTTTGGGAAAGAATACGAATATGTTGCGGGTTGGGATGTGATTGGTGAAAAGTCAACGCAGCTCTATAATATAATTGAACCATCTTTTTAATAAATAAACAAAAATTATCATTATGTAATATTTTGCTCTTGGATATCAATTAGAAAAAGAAAAAAAAATTGTTAACTGATTGATCGATAGATAGATAGATTACTTACTAAACACGTGACATGTATTGTATTTTGTATTTTGTATTATAAAGAAATAAAAAGATTTATATACTAATTGCTATTTAGCACATGTACAGCATTTGTTGTACTTTATTAACGCCTAAATAACTATAACTATAAGAGGTGTTTATTAGTATGCGAACATACGAACATCATATTTAAATATTAGAATTACAAATTACAAATTACAAATTACGATCAATACTTAATAGTAATGATAATAATGGCATTTTAAGGATTATTCTACTCCTTTACTTCACATGTATTTTATATATAATATATTTTTAGTCCCTTCCACCCAAAGAATAGATAGATTCCCAGACATGCTATAAAATATAAGGAAAAAAAAAAGAAAAGAAAAGACAAGACAATTGCTACATATGTAGAATTTTATATTTATTATTTATTATTTATTATTGTTGTTGTTGTTATATATTTGGTATAATAATAATAATAATAATAATAATATTATATATATATTTTTGGTTTTAATGAAAGTTAAAAGAAAATTGAAATCATAGTCATAAGGTAAAGAAGAAGAAGAAGAAGAAATAATAGTAATATTCTGTAGGTATGCAAATATACACATAAAATATAGTATAATATATATATATATATATTGGATGTACATTTGCATAGATGTAGATATAGATGAAAGTAATTTTCTTTGCTTGATTGATTGTGTGTCTGTATATAAATGTATGAATTTATAATAGAGAAAAAAAAATGAAAGGAATGGGAAATAATAAAGGGTGATGATGTTGCTGTGGTTGTTGTTGTTGGTAAAGATGATGGTGATGATAATGATGATGATAGTAATAATAATAATAATAATAATAATAATGATGATGATGCCGGTGGTGGTGATAAATGTTCTTGTTGTTCTTGTTACAGTCCCATATTAAGGTTCATATCCAATCGCATCTCTCTAGACTCTGAGCTTTCGGTAGAAGACTCAGGATGAGCACCGACAACGACATCAGAAAGAATACTCATTCCTCGGTGGGAGAGTTCTGTGGCAGCATCGGTATCAATCTCACGTCTAGAAATTACGTTGGAGTGATGGTGATGGAGAGTATGGTGATTATGGCTGTGGCTATGGTTATGGCTATGATTGTGGCTGTGTTCTTGAAGAACAGTATTATTACTATTGCCACCAAGCTGTGTATTGTTGATAGGATTGGTGCTCAAGTCAGTTGTCGATGTCTGTGCACCCATATTGGCTGTATTGATAGCAGATGGTCCAAGCTGAACACCATCTCCTGATCCATTACCACCTGCACCAGAAGCAGCAACAACGCTGCTATTGGTACTACTGCTTCCACCACCGTTACCATTGGTATTAGGATTGGGATTAACACTGACGTTCCCATTGTTGTTGTTGTTATTGTTGTTTCCTGTGGCAACTGCATCCAGATGAGATTGTTCTCGAGTAGCCTGTCGTTCGGAGCACCACCAGCGGTGGCCATCGCCCCATGCTATGCTTTGACATGCTTTACTGCAATACTTGGCCTTTCGACACCTGCGGCATTTAGCAAACTCACGCGGTCCGGATTCCCATTTACCACAGCTCATGTTTGCGCATCGACGTATGCCGCCTTGTGTTTCATCTTTCCGGCAGGCGTTTCGCATGATGACGCTGGCCCAGTACTGGATAGCCTTTGGGTGGGTACGGTGTGCAAATTTCTCAACAAGGGAAAACACATTGCGGTCAAAGCACGTGTGAAATGAGTCACGGATGTGAGAGTATTTGGTGAGATAGGCAAGGAGCTGGAGCGCCATCACGATATCTTCTTCGTGAGGCGAGACTCCATTAGGATTACCACCATTGAGACCATTGCTGCTGCTATTATTATTATTATTATTGTTGTTGTTGTTATTGATATTACTACTGGCACTAGTGTTGTTACTGCCGTCGGATTGCACACGAGAATCACCCCTTTGGGCTTGTGACCGAGGGTTTTCCCGGCTTGTGCGGTTACTGCGACGCTGGGCTGAGGTAATCTTTACGTACGGGAAAGTAGACCGTCTGGGGGTGGCAAAGGAGGGACTGCGCGGGTAACGTGTGTGAGTGTCCTGTTGGGGTATAGGAGTGATTGGGGACAGGGCAGAGAAAAGGGTGATTGGTCCAAGTGCTCTAGTGGTATTCATATTCATTGGATTTGTTGGATTTGGTGTGGTGGTTGTTGGAGATGATGAGGATGTTGTAAGAGGAGTTTGTGCTATTTTAAAACAAAAATGGTGAGACAATTAATTATGGACTAGTGAATTTTTGCTGTTCATGTTTGATTGTTTATAATAATAATAATAATAGTAGTAGTAGTAGTAGTAGTAGGGAAATGATAGATGTATATAATATAGTATCAAGGAAAACTTACAGGGAAGGTCAGGATAGAGTGAATCTCTCAAGGGAATTCTGTGAACAGGGGGACTGGATGGATTGATGGAAGATAGGATTCGTTTCTTTCTTTGTATGCGCTCGGTGTCCTGACGAACAAGCTCATGGGCCTTTAAGAAGCTATCGAGCACGTTCATCACAATCGGAATCATCCCTGCCTCGACAACCCTGGTTCGAATGTGTTCGGTGCCTCGTACGCCAACGTTGATGACGCATTGGAAGGCCAATGTCCATTTCCAGAGCGAACGAGGATCGAGGGATTGTGTAGAGGGAGACAGGATGCGGATAAGTCGCTCAAGACCATTGTCTAGCACAAGGATTTCTCTGATGCGAGGAGATGTTGAGGTGAGGTAGGCGAGATGGGTAAGTGAGTTGATTAGAGGGAGGGTTGCGGTGCAGTCGAGGGCTCGTCTATCGTAAAGCGCAGTCGTGATGCAGATGGCTGCTCTGCTTTGAGCTGGAAAGCAAAGATTAGGTTCTCTCATTTTGCAAAGAAAGTGATAAGAATAATAAGGGTGTAAAGGGGAAGAAGTAGAAAAAAAAATAAGAAGAGAGAGGTAGAAGGAAGAGATGCAAAAGAAGGAGAAGAATAAAAATAAAATAAAATAAAATAAAATAAAATAAAATATATATGTATGTATGTATGTATGTATGTATGTATGTATATATGTATGTATATATGTATGTATGTATGAATATGTGGTGTGAGGGGAGTATGAGTGATTGAGTGATTAATTGCTATTAAATTATTATTAATTATTATAATACAATATGCGTTTATGTAGTATATATATATAAATACTCTTTCTCTAAATCCTTTCGTTGGTTGTGTAGTCCTGAACCAATCATGATCCAAAGAATCCTCTCATAAATAGAAGAATCTTACTATTTTATTCATTCCTTTAAAATATATATATTTAATATATATATAAATATAGATTAAATACAAAAAAGCTGAATAAATTATCATGATGATGATAATTATTATTATTATTATTATACTGTACTGTATAAAACTATGAAATCATCTGAAATATATTAATATAATATATAGTGTAGCTTGGTATAATTTTGTATTATAAATACAAATATATAAAATATACTATGTTTCAAAAATCGATTCAAATATAAATACATTTTCTCTATATATATACATCTTTAACAAACAAGAAAAAGTTGAATTGAATTGCAATGAATGATAATTATTAACATATATATATATATATATATAAAAGAAAGTCAATTGAATTTTTTTTCAAAATAATAATAAGAATAATAGTCAACATAATAAAATCCAGTAATTCGGATATCTTGATCTTGATCTTGTCTTGGCACTTCTTGTCGTGTCGTGTCGTGTAGTGCCGTACCGTGCCGTGTTGTGTCTTGGCACGTCATGGCATGTCATGTCATGTTCTGTTCTTTATGTACGTACAAGTACAATTGAAACAATTGAAACAAAAATATTGTTCTAAATTCAATTTGCTGAAATTGATTTGTACTAAAGCGATTCTTTCTTATTGCTATCAGTAGCAACAAGAAGAAGATAGGAAGAATGTCAAAGTTATAGACATATTTGATGAGGTATTGAATTAAATGCGTTATTTTAACGAAGCAATAAGAATAATAGAGATAATCAAATTGCTAGCTAAAGAAATAAAGAAAGATAGAAAGAAAGATAAAAAAAATAACAATGATGGCTCTTGTTTTTTTTATTTTTATTTTTATCTTATATAATTAGATGGGTGCATCGAAACATGAAAAAAAATCTTGTGTTACCATGACAGCCGAATCTCGCTTCGGTACCCAAGAAGGAAAGCAAACAAGGCCATGTTTGATTCAAGTAAATAATTGGTTACATCTTCAATTGATCTTTCTCTCCCTTCTTCCATATATGTAATTTTTTTTTGATATTCATTCTTTTTGATTTTTTCTTTATGATTATGTATGGTTTATTTTATATCTAATATAGTAGTAGTAGTAGAAATAAGAAAAGCTAGTGTTCTTCTTGGACTTCTTGTCTTTCTGGACTTGCTTACTGTCCGTTTAAGCGGAATTTTTTCCAATAAAAGTAATATGTGGATTCTCCGTAGAAAGATTTTTTATATATATAAATAAATAAATAAATAGCATACTGCTAAACTGATTGTGATACGGAAGTGAAAGAAGAAATCCAAAGAATCACACTAAATAAATAAACCGATAGATTTCTTTTCTTTTGTTTAGATAGCAACAAAGGAAGCCTTTATAAAGTAAATATATATATATAAATATAAAATTTTAATCTTTTCAATATTCAAACGTGGTTGGTTCAGGTACCTCAAAAATAAAATCATGGTATTATTGTATTGGGTAATTAGACAGTAAATCATAAAAAAAAATTATATATATATATATTTTATTTTGAATGATAATTTGTAGAATTGTATTTTCTACAAAACATTTACACACGCACACAAATACGAATACATAAGTATACACATTGTAGCTAAAATAATTAGTAGATAGGTAAGGTAAGCTAAAGTATATAGTTTAACAAGTACAGCCTAAACACAGGCACAGGTACAACAGGCACAGGCACAGGCACAGGCACAGGCACAGGCACAGGCACAGGCACAGGCACAGGCACACAGAAAAGACACAACAACAACAACAACGACAAAAAATGTAATGGATTCAAGGCGAAATATATATATAAAAATGCATCTTTTTGTTTATAAATCTATAAAAGTAAAATAGACAAAAACTATAAAGCACACATGTCTATTATCACCAAAAATAGCCTAGATTTTTACTTTTTCTTCTTGTTCTTTATCTCGAGGGTGGGACATCAACACCGACGTAATGGACTGTCTTGTGTTACCGCTTTTATTTAAACCCAGAATTTCTGAGACACAAACTTTTTTTTTTCTTTTTTTTTGTAAGAAAATAAAATACCTGCTGTGATTTTAACTACTATTACTGTTACTGTTACTACTACTACTATTACTTAAAAAAAAAAAAAACTTCCTTTCTTTCTTTTACTTCTTTTACTTCTTTTACTTCTTTATTTTCTTTATTTTCTTTATTTTCTTAATAATTGCCTTATGAGTGTTGATCTCATTCCAGGCGAGATATCGCCTTTTACTATAGGCGTTGCTATCCTTAGTGGATTCATCGTCTTCTTTGGCTATATATCCATGTTTGTCAAAGAAAAGATGTTCATTTCTGAAGCATGTAAGAAAACAATATTATAATTGTTGGTCTGGAACCCACAAAGTGTTTCTCTCTTTATTTTATTTTCTTTGGTCATTTCTTCTAGTCATCTCATTTCAACATTAACTAAAAAAAAAAAATATTTTATTTTATTTTATTTTATTTGATCAATAGTTGTCGCTCTTATTGTCGGAATCATTGCCGGTCCACTGGTCTCCAATGGATTTAATCCTTACAGCTGGAACGATACTGATGAAATCACAAAACAACTTACTCGCTGTATTCTAGCCATTCAGGTAAGCTACGAAAATTATTACCATTATTTGTAATTAAATAAATATTAATATTGCCCAATTATACATCTTTATCTATCTAATTTCTTAAAAGGTTATGGCAGTTGGCATTGACTTGCCCAAGTATGTTCCACATAGTGTAACGATTCTTTTTGAACCATATGTATCTCTCCTTCTGACACCTTTTGTTTTTATTTTATAAAGGCATTACATGAAAAAGGAATGGCTGACGATGTTCATGTTCCTAATCCCGGTCATGATCTTTATGTGGTTAGTTAGCGGTCTATTCATCTGGGGATTTATACCTCCAATCAATTATGTAAGTTTTTTTTTTTGACATTATCAAATTTATTGATAACAAATCCAATGCGCCTATTTTACATGATTATCTTATATTTCTTTCTGATTTGTTATAGTTGGAAGCATTAGTTATTGCTGCATGTGTGTGCCCTACAGATCCTGTAAGTTTCTTTTGTTTTATTATTAAATAAAAAAAAAAGGTACCTTTCTTATTTTATTTTTTTATATACAAAAAAAAAAGATCCTTGCAAATTCAGTGGTCAAAGGTAGATTTGCAGAGAAGCACGTTCCTGCACATATCAGAAATGTTCTTTCTGCAGAAAGGTAAATACACACACTATTATTCTTGTTTTGTTTATATCTTTAAAAAATAATAAGGATAATTAAATGGTTCGATTTTTACGGGGATCTTCATGATTTCCATATTAATTATGTTCCTTATAATCATAATCATCATAATAAAATAATAAAATAATAAAATAAAATAAATTAAAGTGGTGCAAATGATGGAATGGGATTCCCTTTTCTCTTCTTGGCCATCTTTTTACTTGACGATGAACAGCATGTTGGACAAGCGATTGGAAAATGGATTTACCTCACCTGTCTTTACCAAATCATCTTATCTTGCATAATTGGTATAGTCATCGGTTGGGTGGCACGGAAGATTCTGCAATGGTCAGAAAGTCGGTAAGAATCCCTTTTTTTTTTTTGCAACAAACCCCCTCCCAAAAATAGATATCTAAAGCAAAAGAGTCCAGAAGCCAGTGTAACATCATACTCTTCCCACCTATCTCCCCGCTCTATATTTCACACATGTACTCATAACACTTTATTTTTTTGTTTTTTGTTTTTTGTTCAATAGCCACCTTATTGATAAACCATCTTTCTTATGTTTCGCAATTGCTCTTGCAGTAAGTCAAATATCTTTTTTCAAAAATAAAATAAAAATAATATTCGAGGGTTATCTAATGCACAGTAGCTCTTTTTGATGAGCATGACAGGCTTCTCTGGGAGTGATGATCTCTTGGCTTGTTTTGTGGCTGGAAATGCATTCTCTTGGGATGATTGGTTCAGACAAGAAACCGAAGAAGCTCATTTCCAAGAAGTCATTGATATGATGCTTAACTTGGCTGTATTTGTTTACATTGGAGCAATCATCGTAAGTTAATCAATCATTCATTCCTTATATATATATAATTGATTTGATCAAATCTCATTAGACAGTCATATAACTAAATAAATTAACCTTACTTACTTTACTTTTTTATTTTTAATTATTATTATTATTATTATTATTTATTGTGTTTAATTCCAGCCATGGTCTGATTTCGGCAATGCTGAGCTGGGTCTGACCCCATGGCGACTGGTTGTCATCGCTATCCTGATTCTGCTCTTCCGCCGCTTACCAATCGTGCTTCTGCTCAAGCCAGTCATGCCTGCCATGAAAACCTACCGAGAGGCGATCTTCAGCGGCTGGTTCGGCCCCATGGGTGTCGGCGCCGTCTTCTTGTCGACAATCGCAAAGGAAGAAATGGAGCACATCTACCAAGGCAAAGAAGCCCCGATATCTATAGAGGTCATCAGTCCCGTCGTGCTTTTCATTGTTCTGTCGTCGACCCTTGTACACGGTACGACCATCCCACTCTTCAAGCTCGGCAAACGTATCCGAACACGAACCCTGTCTGTGACCAGCACTGGAAGTAACCAAGTCCTTCGTCTGCCAAAACTCCAGTTCGGTCGCACCCTGAGTCTGCGCCGCAACGACACTGATGGCCGCAGTCGACACAGTCGCGACATGGATCTGTCGATGAGCCAGACTCAGCGAAACACTCTGATCAACACCATCCAGCACGAGCGGCACAAGGAAATGGACGCAAGTCCCGACGCAACAATCAACCCAGCCCAGGAAAACACCAAGAACAATGACTCGTATGCAGTTGACATGAATGACGATCGCTGGGACAATGATTTCAGAGACGAGGATTTCCTTCCGGGCGAAGAGGACGAAGACCTGGAGAGAAAGGAACCCTTTGGAGTGCAGTCGTCTGTACAAACACCTGCGAACAACAATCATATCTCTGTACCATCCCCGGACGTACGCAGTAGTAACACAGGAACTGGGCTTGAACAGAGCATCCGATTTCTTGAGCCTGTCAAACCACGGGCTGGAAATCAATCCAACTCTAACCTTGAAAAGAACGAGGCTAGTGTTTCGAGTATGAAGAGTTGGCGCAACAAGTTTGCAAAGGAAAAGGATGAACAAGACATTACTGATGAACACCTTACTAGTAATGGTAATGGCGGTGGTGGTGGTGGTGGTGGTGGTGGTGGGTTACGCAATCTTTTCCGAAGACAAAATAAGGATAGTGGTGATAACTCTGCCCAATCCACAAATGCTCTCAAGAACGCCTTTACACCCCCTGATACCACACCTACTACTCCTGCCAAGACTACACTAACTACCGAAACCGGAACTGGAACTGGAACTGGAATGGGAAGTGGCAGTGGCAGTGGTAGTGCAGATCATCAAATACACAACGTTCCTGAACCACATGAAGAGGGGCATCACAGCAAATCCATACATCCACGCATTGAAATCTGGGAAGAAGATTCGCATGTTATCATTGAAGACAAGCGAGATTCCATCCCTCAGGTTGTGATCAACAAGACAGATACAGAGTGGAAACAAAAGGCAGGAGAAGCTGTCAGGACAGTCGAGCAAGCAATCAAGAAGGATGAAAATTCTTCATAGAAAAAAAACCAAACCAAAAAAAAATGTAATTCTTATATAATTTATCCCACATACCACTCTTATATGTTGAACACCCCTCAAAAAAATCCAAAAAAAAAAGACACAAAAACAACCAAACCTCTCTCTCTCTCTCTCTCTCTAGCTGTCCCTTTTCATCCCCTTCTTTTTTCTTAACATTATTGTACGAATAATACTCTTCTTCTTCTACTACTTTATATTTTCTTTAACTTTTATAATCCTTTCTTTTTCTATTGCTCTTACTCTTTATTATTAGATTCTCCTCCTCTTTTTTTTGTTGCTTAGCATTTTATCCACAACTGTTTCATTCCATGTAGACTTTCTTTTCTTCTTTATTTTATTGATTAGGTTGTGAATACAAAAAAAAGCTATATTTTTCTCTCTCTCTTTTTTTAAAGGGTTTCTTATCTGTACTTTTATATTTTATAATAATATAAATAAATTACACTTTACAATACTTTAAAGACCCATATGTGGCAAACCATTGTGGAGAGTATGATATTCTACAATCTATTTGGATTTGGATTTGGATTTGGATTTACCAACAAATCGGACAAATTTCCCTTGATTTTGATATTCAATACATACATACACACACATATGCACACATGTTATTTATGTATGCAGATAAATAGGACAAAAGGAGGAGGGAAGAAGGAGGTGGTTTGTCAATTGACTCTTTCTATTTGATCCAAAAGAGAGAAAAATATCCCTTTTCTTCTTCTTGTGATATTTGCATTATTTATTATAGCAACATCAATCATCACCAAGATTAATCAATTTGTTATTCTAACCTTTTATCATATTTTATTTTATCGATTAGTTTTATTTTTGATATTAAACTAACCAAAGAAATGAATCATAACAATAACAATAGTATTCTTGGAAGAAAGCTTAAACGAACAAAAATCAAATATTATAATGTATATTTCACATTGTCGTTTCAAAATTTCTTTGTTGACTTGTTTCAAATATAACAATATCAAATTTGGGTAAGATCTTGTTATAGTCTGTATGATTTTATTCTTACCATAACTATCATTACACTAAACCTTTTTGTCTTTCTATTTGCTATAGATCTAGACTATTCATTCAACAAAGCCTTTTATATAAAAAATAAAAATAAAAATAATCTGGACACAAATTCCTTGGTTTCTTCTTCTTCTTCTTCTTTAGTCTGTGTTAGGATAATCGTGAGTATTTTGAAGAAAACAAATCTCCAAAAGAAAATCGATACTGTAAGACATGGTAGAGAACACAAGACCAGACATTAAAGTTGTACTCCAAATATTTACTGTTCTATAGACGCGCACAAAAGAAATGTTCTGTTTTCTAAAACTATAATACTTTTATGTCAATAACTGTAACATTTAATTAGTATTATTATTATTATATATATATTATTTTGGAATGTTAAAGAAGTATAAGATAAAGAAAAGAAAAATAGCAAAATCAATATATTCAGTAAGCATACTTGAGGTCAATTATACTCCATCATGTAAATAAATATATGCATACCAATCAAACATGAAACAAGTTTAATACCAAGATTTTCATGCTACTTTTGTATTCCAAATATATATATATTATTTATTTAGTTTTTACACTTTAAAAATATTCTATCCCTTACTTTACAAAGTTTAGTCTCAAAATCATATAGCAAATTGTTTTACAAATCTCAAATATGAAGTTTAAGAGTAAATAAAGATGCTCAACTTCATTGATTCAATACCCTTGTTTTACAAGCAAGAAATAATTTAACATCTTGCAGTATTATTGATAACTGTCTTGAGTAGAGTAACAAACTAGAGAATAGATTTTTGGAAAAGAATGCTCATATATTTGTTTCAAATGACAATAGTAATAGAAGAAGAAACAAACAAACACACGCATAAATATTAGCAGTAGAGTGGCAGGACCATAGTACCCTAGTTTATTACAGGAGTATATATTAATTTACTCGGAACTTGTTTCAATATGTTTCTTGGTTCAAATACATAATCGACATATACATTAGCATGAGGTCAAGGAAGAACCCTTAATATTTATTCCATCAAAAACATCTTTTTTTTTTATCCTGACTGAAAATGGAGGGTTTGCTTCGCTTATAGAGTCGAGTATTTTTTTTCTCCACTGATATCCCACACAAGTGATATATTCAAAAAGATTCTGCCTGAAATCTTTACTTTGATTTCAATCTTGTCCAGACCAAAAGACAGTTCCATTATCATTGTCTCTATTATAAAACTTAAATTTGGTATTCAGGATAGCAACTAGATCAATCTCTTCGGGAGCAGCAAACTCTGGTATTGTGACATCGTCATCATATACATACAATGCTGTCAAGCAAAATAAGCATTTTGTATTAGGTTGTCTATACATACATCCACGCATGCAGTATTAGCTTAATTCTTACATATAATTGTGTAGTATACACACCACAGTTGAGTGAAGAACAGACTCCATAACCAAACATTGGTTTCTTCTTGCTAATGAACCAGGTGTATGTTCTTGGTGAGGTATTTGGGATTGTTTAGGAGTTAATATCTCAATATTGGTAAAAGTAAATACTATAAAGTGTTATTTATTTAAGACATAAGATAATATTGTTTTTATCTGTTACTGTTAAAATCCTTGTTGTGTAATGGTTGGTTTACACTGTATGAGTGTGTAGTGTACATGTGCCAGGTGTGTAACAGTTCCGGAGATTGTTAGCTTACCAGGTTCGTTAGCAAGAAGGAACCAGTGCTTGGTTATAAAGCTTGTACTTCACTCAATTGTGGTGTGCATAACGCATCGACTTTCCTTAATATTGGGACACTAACCTATAAACAACCCCAAGTACTTTAAGATGCTCTTCACGGAGGAAATAACTTAACCATATCATTAATTGAAGATTTTATGGTAGTCGTGAATCTCTGAACTGTATTTTCATTGACAACCTGTTGGAACCTTGACGGCGAAAAGAGTGGCTACGTGGGTTAAAACGAAAGTAGCATTTGTATAAAGAAAAAGTCGCCCTGGTAACCACTTTGATAAAACCTTTATGTAGTTATTAGACTAATAACGAGGTACTGTCTTTCCAGCGACTATAGAGCAGATTCAACTCTGTTTGAATAGCTTCTATCATGTGGGATAGCTATCACCTTTAAGTTAATTTTGAAAATGTCTCATTGTGTATGTGGCTCGACCGTTGCTATTTACGCCTGTCCGGCTTCGAGAAATATGTTTCAAATTGGCGCTTATACACAGCCTACAAATTTAAAAGAACATCTCTACACTATATGTTCTGCCAACATAAAGTAACCAGAATACTACAGCTTACTCTTCTTAAAGAAGAAATGAAATAAAGGCACGCACACACACACACAGACCCACGTATAAGCACAAAAAAGAAACAAACTGTATCCTGGCTGTTTTACAAAGGCAATGACACGACCTTTCATAATCATCATTTTTATCTCGTTTTGTTGTGAAAAGACTCATTTTTGTTTTGTTTTCTGCTTTGTTTTCAAACATCATTAAATGAATTAATGAAATGGGACACATTGTTTGCACATTATTTTACAATTAGCTACTAATGTTAACAAAAATCCCTTTTTAAAGAAGCTGCTTATTTTTTAAAAAAAAAAACAAGCACAAGTACATTGTGTGTTTGTGATTAGTATAATACAGTGAATCTTCTCCAAACTTGGCAGACTGTTAGTTAGACTTTACCGTGTTTATCAGGTAAACTTTTTAATTAATCAGCTCACAAACAAAGGCAGAAATAAACTTAAATGTGTGTGTATGTGTGTGTTTGAATGGGATGAGAGTTTATCATTTGTCAGTGTCAAAAGTGATTTATTACTTTTGTTAATTATAATCCGTGTAATTAGTCTATAGATAAATACATTATACAACATATTTATGTGAGTGCGTAATTTGACTGCATTAAGAATCTGTTATTTAAGCTGTGTCAAACCTATTTGTCTCTTGATGGTAATCTCTGCAGGTTAATGTTCATTGAATAGTACCAAATGTAATTTGGATTGTAATGAAAAGATAGTATGATGATGTGGCCTGTGCATCTTGGTGTCGCATAAATTCAAATAAAAATAAAGCGCCTCTTACTTGGTTGGTGTCACTGACATGCAAAAGAGAATGAACAATGAAGTGAATGGTAATTTTTTTGTATTGAAATGTAATGAAGGATTAGCAGCATTAATATTCATATGAATAATAATAATAATATGAATAATAATTTCATGAAAAATAAATAAACAAAAGTCACTAATCATTAATGAAAGGAATAATTATTATTTAATGATCAAAAGGAAAAATAATAATAATGATTCTATTAATTAGTGAATTGATTTTCACCATTCGTTAATTGAAAGGATTAATTTTCATTTATTTTATAAATGGGTGGACTAAAAAGATAGTCCAATTTATGGCCTGATCCACGTATCAGCCTTTATCCACCACACCTCCACCTGCGAAGAATGCGATGAACTGCCAATGCCACAGTCGTGCCGGCGCTACTCGCGCTTATTTATCTGCCAGAAAAACTTTGCAGTCTTAATGGGTCAGAAGTGCAGTATTAGGCGAGTAGACGCAATCTTAGCGCCCCTCTTTCCCGCTTAGCCCTTTATGTGAAGAAAAAAATCTGAAAATTTGGACGGATTGGCCCTTCTTTTATAGTTTTTTGGCCAGTTTTTTTTTCTTTTTTTCTAGATGAGATGGACAGTCACATCTATTTTCATGTGATAGTGATAAGATGGAGCCCCATAGAAGCTTTACAAGATGGCTTTTTGCCTTGTATGAAGAAAAGGTATTAAAGAAGTGTTGAAAAAAAAAGTGGTAAAGAAGTCCTCCAGTCTCCCCGCATTCCATATTCACTTTTCTGTGACCAAAGTACTACCGATCTTACAAAAGAAGCATTCCGTTTAAAAATATTTTGAGAGGAGTGCGATAAAGAGAAAAAAAGATGTGTACGACGAACATATATACTAGACATTATAAATTAGGCCAATCAGGATATGTCATTTTATAAGACACTTGTGGGTTTCTGCACCGACTCTATTAAACAGTTACAAAAAGCAACAAAGAATATGTTTAAACACACATTTACTCGCAAAAGATTCTGAAAAAAATCACTGTATTGGCTAGGGAAGACACATCTTTATCTGGCTTTCTATACTTAATCTCCACTTTGAAAAAAATAAAAATATTTAAATAGCGAGTGCCCTGTGCGCTGGTTGTGTTTTATGAAAAAAACGAATTTCGAGCAAAACGACAAATTAAATACCGAAAATCCGCCATACATATACATCGACTAAGCAACTGTCTGTTGTATGTATAAATAACCTGGTGCGGTACAGTGAGATCCACAGTATAGAAGTTATTTGGTATTAATTGCTCTAATATTGATCGAAATGTCAATTTATTTCACTCTAAAAATGATTTTTAAACAGAAAATCCGCAATATACATAAATCGACTAAGCAAAGTCTTTTTGTATGCATAAGTAGCCTGGTGAGACATGGTAAGATCCACAGTGTTAAGTTTATTTGGCATTATATACATACCGAAACCAAATATTGGCTCCTTCTTGCTAATAAACCTGGCGTATGTTCTTGGTGAGGTACTCGGGATTGTTATTGGGTTAGTATCTCAATAATAAAAAAATTAGATACTGTGAGAGTTTTATTTATTAAAGAGACAAAATAATATTGTTTATATCTGCTACTATTAAAATCCTCGTAATAAAAATTCCTGTTGCGTAATGGTTGATTTACAATGTATGAGTGTGTAGTGTACGTGTGCCAGGTGTATAACAGTTCTGGAGATTGTTAACTTGCCAGGTTTATTAGCAATAAGGAACCAATGTTTGGCTGTGAAGTCTGTTCTTCACTCAATTGTGGTGTGTGTATACCACAAAAGTCATTCCGAGCGAAGTAAATTGATATTTTGATCAATATTAGAGCAATTAATACCAAACAACTTTAACACTGTGGATCTTACCATGTCTCACCAGGCTACTTATGCATACAAAAAGACTTTGCTTAGTCAATTTATGTGTATAGCGGATTTTCTGTTTAAAAGTCATTTTTAGAGTGAAATAAATTGACATTTTGATCAATATTTGAGTAATTAGTACCAAACAACTTTTAAATTGTGGATCGTAACATGCCCTACCAGCTTTATTATGCATACAAAAGAGCTTTGCTGTCAATTTATATGTATAGCGGATTTTCTGTTTAAAAGTCGTTTTTAGAGTTGTGGTATACACACCACAATTGAGTGAAGAACAGACTCCACAACTAAACATTGGTTCCTTCTTGCTAATGAACCTGGTAAGCTAACAATCTCCGGAACTGTTATACACCTGGCACACGTACACTACACACTCATACATTGTAAATCAACCATTACACAACAAGAATTTTAACAGTAACAGATAAAAACAATATTATTTTATGTCTTAAATAAATAACACTTTATAGTATTTACTTTTACCAATATTGAGATATTAACTCCTAAACAATCCCGAATACTTCATTGTCAACTCTTCTGATAACTTTGGCCCCTTTATCGTTACATTTGATTATGAATTGTGATGAATTGAGCTTAATTACACCCCTTCATTGACTCTTTGGCAAGGTTGGCTTATGATCTGGAATATGTGAGCCAAAGCCTAAACAGACGAGATATCTGATAATTGTCTCTCTACAGATGAATATTTCTATTTTCTTTAAAGAGGCTCTTCGCCTAGAGTATGCGGCAAATTGGGTCCTTTCGAACCACTTGCACAAATTATATTACTGTCTTCTCACTAATCTTTCTAAGTCCTACAAGCCGCTTTCTTAGGTCTGAAGATTTTATTTTAACTATTCTCTTAATGATGTACTTGACATTAGGCAGGCTCATGCCAACAGCCCATGAAATCTGAATTACTTTGACATCTGCTTAATGCATGTATACAATGCATTCGTCTTAGTAGGAATCCTATTTTTCAAAAGGAACATGTGTGTTTTCTGATGATGTGTCTTGCATGTTGGATTAAATTATTAAAATGAGGAAGAAAACAATGCTCATGCTTTTATTTTTTGCGGGTGTCAAAACGATTTAGATTGTGAGTCTTTAATCTTTTGACAGAGTAATTCAAAACTAGAGTTGACCTTAATAGATAGATTTCAAAAACGCGTATAATAATATTATATACTATTTCACTTCATTTGTTTAAATAAAGTATATGTAACTTTGATTTTATTAAGGTCTTTTATATATTGATAAAAAAAATTAAAAAAAAAAAAAAAAAAAACAATTAAAGTCGGTGAACACTCAAGCCTAGAGCTTTGCTGAGCGGGTTCAAGGTGGTACCTTGGCTTTACTTTATCTAAATATTCAAAAAAGTTAAGATTAGTATATTGTCAATGAATGTTTTTATTTATTTATTACATACCTGCTATAAATAAAAATATTGCTTATCTTGAGGTATGGTCAGCTCAAGATTCTCTCGCAAAAACGAGAGAGACCCGGTTGGAGATTATTATCACCTTAATAAGCCGCTGGGCAGATAGAGCCACTGGCTAGCACACAAAAGTGTAAGGTGTGTTCGCCACTACGTCCCACCAAGCGTTTAAGTCAGAAAACCCTCAGAGTTTCCCACGTTTTGTATAAGAGAAAAAAAGCAGCATCTGCCATCGACATTACAATCAGATTATGCAACAGGACCTCCTCCCCAACCGAGGTTGAGAAATTAAGGCCACTTACAAATGCCACGTCATGCGCAGAAGACTTGAGATGACTACAATCTAACATCGAACACGCATGGCAGAAAACCCTCAGATCCCTACGAAATACGCGAGGCATAGACTGACAAGCTCTATACCGCATCGATAATTAAGCATAATTACCGGGACCACAGCTTATTATTGACTTGCATCTTTGTACAAGATAGAATGATAATATCTGATTTTACTGTATCAATTAAAATGGAGAAGATACAAACCGCGAGTAAAGAAGAAAATTAAAAAATCCCATTCACTCCCTCGTTTTAAAAGAAAATTTTTTTTCTTCAAAGCCATCTGGGCGTAAAAGTAAAAGTCACGGCGCATAAAATAAACATCGGGTTCTGAACAAAAAATGCGCCCATATTCTTTTATCAGCATGTGATATATATAAGCCTCTCAAAGGATTTGTTTATTTATGAGTGAGAGATATTAAAAAGTCTATATGTAAAGACTAATATCTATTTAACACACAACTTCTTCTTGCTAGAAATATAAGCTTTTAAAAAACATATATATATATTTATTAAATTATGTAACCTTTTGTACTTTCAGTGTGGAATCCAAATAATTGATTTATTTAATAACTCCTTTTAAAACAGTCCTACTACCCGAATATTTAGAGAAATAAAATAAAAAATAAAGAGAGTTAAAAGGTACTTTCAATTGCATTATTGCAAGTGAACCAATCAATATATAATGACTGTATTTGCTATTATATTTGGGTTGATTTTATAAGATATTAATTAAAAGAATCGTTTTACAAAATAGTACTTTTTCACTAGTATTAACTACATCATTGTACTTTCTTTATATTGAATACAGGCTTGTATATATATATAATGGCTGACATTGTGATGTGTACTATATGGACATTTGTATAAATGGAATTTCCGGATGATTATGCCAAATTATCTATAGTGCAAATTCAAAAGGGAAACCCTAAAAAGTATCACTTATCTTAATATCCAGCACCAGGTATTTTAGGACATATGGTAAAAGATGTACATACACTGAATCATGTTTTATTTTCTAGAGTGTACCTTTTACTTTATAGCAGACAACATCCTTTTATTTATTTTCACACTTTAAATATTCTATTCCTTACTTCACAAAGTTTAGTATCAAAAGCATATAACAAGTTATTTGGCAAGGCTAAAGTCTGAAATTTGATAGTGAATAAAGATGCTCAAATTCCTTGCTTCAACACCCTTGTTTTACAAGTAAAAAAAAACAAATCAAACAAAAAGCAACTTTTTTCATTACAGCCATATTCTCGCTTTCAATAACCTTGAACTTCTTGACTAGACTCCCAAAAGTTTACTTAATTTGCTTCTGAAGGTACGGCAACTGTCCGAATCCTCCAGTAATGAACATAACATCCAGGACTTTATCCCCAAGTTGTGCAAACTGTTTCTCAATAAGTTCTAATACTTGATTTACTATTTAATCGAACACTTTTGTGCGAACTTCAGTTGCTGTTATGACTCTAGTAGCAGTTATATTATATATATTATCAAATCCAAACATATAATATTCATTTGGTTTGGTACCATCAAACCATGCCTATATGTATATAAAAATTAAAGATAAAAGTAATATATTAATATTATCTGATCACAGCTTAGGATCAAGTAAAAACCTTTTTATTCCGTCTACTATTGTTATTATTTACCTTTAGACTAAATGGAAAAACACCTGCGGCATAATTCAAGCTGAACATGCCCTTCTGATTTCGTTTATTATATAAATCTATAAACCAAGAGTCCGAAAAAGCTGCCCAACACGAGCTACCAGTTGCCATGATAACTTCTTTTAAGCTTTTTCTTCTTCTGATAAATCGTCTCTTTCTAATGTCGCAAGTTCTACGGTTTTACTACCAGTATCGCATATCATGTAAAGGCTATCATTTACCAGTTTGATTTCAGGCTACATACGCTCGGAATACAGAAATGGTGCCACAGCTTCATCAACAATCGATAATTTTTCTGGCTTATTGTATCTTGTAATAGAACCAGTCATGATAGCAGCTTCTCTCATAATATTCTTCGATTCTTTGGACCATATAGTTGGAACAGACATACAATATCTGTACTTAGCATGTTTGGTACATGTGGTGTATAATTCAGGTATTAATTTATGAATAGCTTTACGCATTATTTTAAGGTAGCAAGATATGACTAAAGAAAAAATACATACACAAAACTTTATTTAGTTGGATTAGCTAATACACATACTCATTCAGTTACTTTTTGATAGCATTTTTTCTTTCTTTTATTTGGCTTTTACTTTTTGCCAGTGTCATATTGTACGCCAATTTGTGAAGATCTTGACAGTCTTGTCTAGCCATAGTTTAATTCTGAGCATATAATACCCGGAGTTGGGGTCTCTTGCTAACTAAAATTCTGTCCATCTTCCTTGATCATAGTCCCTTGAGGAATTGTAAAATATTGTTGATAGCATTTCTTCATATTCCCAGCTATAGTAATATATTTATACACGCATAGAATATTCAAGAGAAAAAAAAGAATAGATTATCAGAATGCTCAAATTACATTTAAATTTTTGTTTTCGGATAAAAACTATTAATTGTTTATATATATATAGTATTATGTCTATACTAAATAAAAGAGTGAGATTTACAAAAAAATACAAAGCTTAAATAATAGTCATCTTACTTTCTTTCTTTTTTCGCTTGATAAAATATCATCTAAATCTCTTATATCGTGTAGCCAAAAAGTATCAAGATATAAAGGCTCAAGATCATCGAGACTTAATGTCTTAAAACCAGATGTAGTAGTTCCAAAATCTAATATTGTAAATATATATATTACTACATGAGTGCTAAAAAAATAAAGCACAAAAAATATATTTACCTATAACAACGGCAATATCATAGGCCTTCAAGGCACTCATCATAATTAAGAGTGTATGTATTTGGCAGTTTCTTTTTTTTTTAAAAAAAAAGCTTAAAATTCATTATTAAACCAGTCTGTCTAAAGATGGAAAATATGTATTGTTCCTCTTGACAAGGTAGATTTTATCCACTGGCGTTTCTTGTATCGCTCATCACAGTTAGCTTAGAAGTGGTGATGTAGCTATGGAAATAACAAAGTATTAAAATAGCTCTTCTCGTTTGTTCTTTAATAAAATTGTTTTTTTACCCTTATTTTTTTTTTGGTTACTAAGTTGGACATTTACACTACATAGCTGACCTACGATGTGTCAATATTAAGAGGTTGTTTGACTGGAAGAATATCAATCGAATGTTTGGGATTCAATAAGTTATCTCAAAACATTGACTTATTTAGTAGATCAATTACACAATGAGCTTTACCCATCAATTCAGGTTTATCAGTATATGCTCTAATTACCACATAAAAAGATTAAGAAATAAAGAGATAGGTACAATAGTCTATAGACTCTTCGGGTTTATAATACTTCATATCAGGTACAAATTTTGTACAAAATTCTTCCTGTCTTTCTTTGTTATAAGTATTTTTATATATACACAATGGCTCACATCTGTTTCTTGTCCCTTGGTACATCGTTAAGCAAACAAAAACAAAATAGCACTCTGTCTGACATTCATGTTAAGGATCCCGCGGTGACTTGCAACCATTTGTTGTTTTAGCTGCTCATCACAGGCAAGTTACATCACTAAGCAGAATCGAATTGACACCCAAGATCGTAGAAAAAAATGGCCTGATGATCGCATCACGATTGTGTGTTTTAAGGATCTTTTAAAGAATTTTTTGTCCGTACTGAGCCAATTTCAGATTAACACGTATCCACTCCCGTCGTCTACTTACATTATTGACGAGACTGAAAAAGATATTGCAAGGGAAAAGGAGCGCAATGCAATTTGGGATGCATGCTTTTCATTGAAACCTACGCTCATAATATTCTCAACATTCACTATTGAAGGTTGGTCGATCTCTGAGCGTTTGCAAGTGCCAAGCATTGGAGTATCTTTCTTCCCACTTGATTGCTTCCCAATGCCACCCGAGTTCAAGAACGAGCTATGTGATTCTTTACCTGAACTCACTGATGCTTTGTCACATCCAAATAAAGAGACAGTGGATTGGAGACACGTAGTACACTGGATGTGGCGTTTGTTTCTAGAAGATCAAGGCGATTTTCGAGAGTATCTTGGGCTCACAACAATGCCTTTTGTGGACATTACAGACAGTGGCTCAGTCGAAGTATGCTTGCCAATCCCTACCACAATGATTTACGCTTTTGACCCTCTTGACGATATTTCGGATACAACAATCTTGGGAGGGTTTTGGACAGATCCTGACATATTTCGTGATATTTCAAAAGACTTGTGGCGAACAAACCCAGAATGTTTAGTAGATATAGAGAGGTTTATTCAATCAATGGATTCTGTGATCATTATTCATTTCGGATCGATGGAGCATCTATTTCCCCAATTCCGTGATCCAAAATGGTTGAACCAACTGGTAGGATTAATAGGCAAAAGCTTAGAGCAACTAAAGCTGCCTGCTATATGGTGGATGACCTCCAATTCCCCTCTCCACAAGGCCTGCCTCGAAAATCCTTCTTTTGCTACGTATAATACGGCTCACATCTGCCTAGAGGATATTCCACACGATTTTATTATACCTGCTATTCGTTATGGATTCCCAAAAAAATGTTTTGACACCTGGTGGATAGATGTTCACAAAAACAAAGTTGAGGCTCCAAGAAAAAGAAATATCGGTGCTTTGCATCATGGAGGAGCAGGGACATTTGGATCAATGGCGACCTACGGGGTTCCGCAACTCATACTTCCCTGTATGTTTGATCAATTCTTTTGGGCCGAAACGGGTGAATCTCACGGCATAAGTAAGACATTGAACGTAGACGACCATGATTGGAGCAAAGCATTCTCTTGGTCCGTGAAAGATAAGAAATCTTGCCAAGGTTATCAAACCATTGTAAAAAGTAGTACAGAAGAGGGACTTTTGCGCACTCTGAACGCAATTTTGAGCAATAAGTCCAAATAGATCTAATGTGTATTATGCTCATAATATAAAAGGTCTTATATTAAAATAGCTCATATGTTTATTCAAAGTACAGCATCTAAAGATTCCTGATAATTCTCTGATATTAAATTATTAAATGTAGAAAAGAGTACACTCTGCAAGACGACAATAAAAAAAAAGAAAGAATATGTATAAAAAATGAATGTTTCACCATAAAAACTGGGCAGGGATTGTTTTGAGATTATTCGGATCCGTACAAGATGATATAGAATAACTCATCCCAAGATCGCTGTCTTGACTGTTGGTAAATGACCCATTATCCATATTCCCGTGTGATTCATTGTGAAGCTCATCAAATATGGAGGCTGCGAAATTGAGAGCATTGAGCCAATCGTGAGAACCTTCGGCAGTATCAGCAAGCATATACATTCGGTATTCGAAAGAATCTAAATTCTCCTGAAGATTTTGTTCATCATAAGGACTCAAAGAGTTCTCAGAAAACTGTAGGGCAAGGCAATGCGATTCATTCATCATCTGATGCCTATCATCCTTATTCAGATTAGGGTAGAATGCTTCGACAAGTGTATCAAGAGGTAGAATATAACGAGTTGAACGTGCCTATTATAAGCTTGTATGTTAGATTACATAGACCTTTTGCGTTGAGCCTATCATACCTCTCTGTATTCAAAATCATACATCTCGAGTTTCACACCACGCAATACAGCCCAAAAACGTTCTCTTTTCTGTATAATAAAGTTTATCCGCAAATATTAGAAATATTTTCTAAGCCATAGTACTTTGTGAGAGAGAGAGAGAGAGAGAGAGAGAGAGAGAGAATATAATTAAAGTACATACAGGCGCCATAGGACCTTGAACATAAACAGTAACATATCCAGCAATAAGAACTGTATCGTTAATCAAGACCTGCGATCGTTGGCTAATATACATGCCAAACACAGCCAACACTTGGTATGAGCTATACTTGTTGGGCTGTGATTTGTCGTGGATATCAAAGCGCTGAAAATGCTTTTCTTTTGGATTAAGGGTGATGTGGAATGACTCTTCACCAACGCAGATATCGTCAGCTCTTCCCCTTAGGTTGAAAAGGCTAGCTGACCGTGGTTGGGTGTATAGACTGATTGTGGCCGTAGTAGGCTCACTCACATCACTGATCGAGTGTTAAAAATATGTCTATGAAAAATCATGCTGTGAAGAAAAATAAAAAAATATCACAGATACTTGCAATAGAAATGTTTCGTCGAAATTGGCTTCAGTACTTGACTTTCCACGTTTCTCGCTCGTGGCATATGAGCTCATACAAAACTCTTGATTAACTTGAACACTACAGCGAAATTTGCAGGCTAGATTTTGTATAAGAAAATGATACACAAAAACAAAATATATATATATATATATATATATATCTGGAATCAGTATAAGGCTTGAGATTTAATAAATATCAATGCACTCACACTTTGAAGAATCGGTATTTGTGACCTGAAGAACTATATAGAGAAGGTTAGACTTGTTTAACGTAGTGAGCTCCAATTAATTGGGCAGAAAACAGTACGTCTCAAGTAGAACATGGCTTTTGGACCATGAGTTTTCTTAACGATCTGGCATGAGTTTGTACTAAATCAAATGCATAGTAACCAATATCAGAATGTAGATCCACGTGAATGAGAGCATTTCTTACATTATCTGGCTGGAAGCGTAAGGCTTACAGAGCACAATAAACCGGCCATAATCGGACAGGGTGTTCTTTAAGTTCTGACCAAGAAATCCCGCAGTATGCTCTTCTCTTATCCACGCTAGTTTTTCCTCCGCAAGTTGGTCAATCGTGTAACATGGTCCGTTGTAGTGCACAACTGGTTCCACAGAGGACTTGACCTTTCCAAACATGTCTTTCTTCTTTTTATCGTCGACCAAAACCAAGTCCGAATGGGATGAGGGTGGATTTGGTGTGGGCATAATTCGCCTGGTAGGGGTCATTAAAACGCCAACTTTTGCATTGGACAGTTGCAGGAGCGATTTGCTCATGAATTTGCAAAATGTACTAGTAGACACGGATGCCTTGATTGTTGAAGAACTAGAAAAGCTATTGAGAAGCCGCGAACGAGACATCCGCTTGGGAGGTGGGCTCGGAATCAATGGATTTTTTATGGTTGGATAAGAAGTCATAATGATAATAAGAAAGAAATATGAAGAATATCAAAAGACACACTTGAAAGACTCTTGGCTGGTTTTCTCAGGAACGCAAAGAATTAGCAAAGCTTTGCATTGATCGCCCAGGCCCAATCAGGTAACAAAACGTCACAGAAACTCCCTATTTTTGGGATGAAAGATTATTAGATTTTTTTTCCTATGTGAGGGCGAACAATGCTTGTACGCTTTAATAGATTAAAAGGGTCGAGATCAACGCATGTTACCAACTCATCGCACTATGCGTAATGGACAGATTAGTTACGATGACGACAAATACAACAAGTACGACAGAACTGAACTCAAAAAATCACTTTTAAAAGTAAGAAAATACTTCTTTGGTTAGGTCAATTAGTTGACTCATGTACCATTACCATCATCAACTTTTTTCTTCGAATCAATCTGATTTGATTCATCAGCACAGACGACTATCATGTACAATTGTATTTGCACTTTTGTTGACATGTCTTTGCCTGACTTACTACGGCTATAACTCGACTCGACTCCAAAGTGCAATTGAAGACCAACCAATCGATATTGCCTACAAGAGGCCTAGTACTATTGTAGAAGAACCTCCGAGTGTATTGCCAGGATACAAAGATGAAATCCCGGAACAGGAAATAAACGAACCTTCGATTGAAGATAAAGTCCCTGAACCTGAAAAGACCCCTTCAATTATCGAAGACGACTCTCAGACAATATATCGTCAGAATCGTATCGTCGAGGCTTTTAAACATGCCTGGAAAGGCTATGTCATGGATGCATTTGGAAAAGATGAATATCAACCCCTTACTCATAATGGGCATGATTGGGCTCCGGGAGGACTCGGTCTTATGATCGTAGACTCGCTGGACACCATGCTACTGATGAATCTTACTGAAGAGTACGCACAAGGGCGCGAATGGGTTGCTACAAAACTCAGTTTTGACAAGAACCAAGATGTCAACCTGTTCGAAACAACGATAAGAATTCTCGGAGGGCTTTTGTCGGCATACGATTTGTCTAACAAGGACCCTATATACCTTGAAAAGGCTACAGACCTTGGAAATAGACTAATGGGAGCATTTAAAACGGAATCAGGGGTTCCCTATGCAAGTGTAACCCTCTCGACCGGTCTGGCCTACAAATATCATGTACCAAGCAGTACGGCAGAAGTTACAACGATCCAGTTAGAGTTCAAGTATTTGAGCTATTTGACAGGCGACCCCAAATATAGACTTGCTGCAGAACGTGTAATGCAACATATGGATAAGCTTGTTCAGCAAGGCGATACTACGGATGGTCTCGTACCTATTCTGATAAAGTGAGTAATGTACAAAGCAGTTACCCCTTCCTCTTTTGTTTAAATCAAAAAGAAACTCAAAATTTATTGTGTAAAAGTCCCTTGGATGGTACATTTGCTACGAGTGAGATTCGACTTGGCTCTCGTGGTGATAGCTACTATGGTATGTGATGTATATGTAACATTTATAGTTTATTTTATACATTTGCTTTATATATATTCAGAATACTTGCTTAAGCAATACCTCCAAACCTCAAAGACAGAACCTCACTACCGTGAGATGTACGACTATGCTGTGGATGGCATTCAAAAAAATCTGTTGGCTCGCAGCTACCCAAATCATCTACTCTATATTGGAGAGTTACTCAATGGTAAACCTGGAAATATTCACCCAAAAATGGATCACTTGGTTTGCTTTATGGGGGGCAGCTACGCACTTGGCGCTACTGAAGGAGTTGCGTTGGCCGACTTGCCACCTTTGACGGGAAGAAACAAACGAGATTTAGAAACTGGCCGTGAGATCACCCAAACGTGTTATGAAATGTACAGCATGACAGCAACTGGACTTGCCAGTGAGATTGTCTATTTCAACGACGACGAGAATACTGAGCCAAATGGTGCCGATATGGCTATTCACTTTCAGGACAGACACAATTTGTTACGTCCTGAAGCATTGGAGAGTATATTCTTAATGTGGAGACTTACTGGAGAAGAGAAATACCGGTAAAAGTTAACAGAAAAAAAAAAGGTTAAAGAGCTTAATAGTTAATGTGCGCACTATTGTTTCAGTGAATGGGGATGGAAGATTTTTGAAGCGTTCGAGGAACATGCTAAGCTTCCAATGGGTGGTTATGCAGCTCTGAAGGATGTTACAAAAGTTCCAGCCACCAAAGAAAATCGTATGGATACATTCTTCTTGGTAAGAAAGTTATTTAGGCCCAATTCTCCACTTACTAACTTTTGCTCAGGCCGAGACTCTTAAATATCTTTATTTGCTCTTCAGCCCGGATGATGTAGTGCCGTTGGATAAATATGTATTGAACACAGAGGCACATCCGTTGCCTATATTTACACCAAACTGGTGAATAGAATAAAACCTATACATTTCCTAAATATACCGAAAAAATAACAAGATATATTTACACATGTATAAATATAAAGATTAGGTGTAAGAGGGGAGCCAAAGTATGAGGAAGGTTTCGAATTTGTGTGTGTTTTTTATGGACTAAATAACTTGCTATTATAATTTCATTTCAGACCAAAGCAATTGTAGGACAATATATCATACAAACCATATATCGTCAAAAGCAGAAAAAGTAGAGTAAAGAGAACAATATTTGATAATAAGTATTTTTTAAGAGAGAGAGTTACAACTGCAGGTTTTTCTAAATACGAGCTTAGATTTTTTTAGGTTGTGTTTTTTAGAATATATCTCTTGTAGTTTGTACCTCATATGCTCTATGCTACACTATAGAGTTTTTGGAGTCCGATTATAACAGAAAAGAGTTTATTTGAGCTTTAGCAGATGTAGACTTAGTCCAATTGCAGTATTTTCTAATTAAATCCTGTGCTTGTCAGAACAGTAGAAGTAAGATAAAGATCAAGATATGACACTCTTTTATTAATAGCTGTTGTATGTCTTTTTATTATTATACTAGTAAATTAAACATGATCTATTGAAAGCTACACAGGATATAATATAACGAACTAACTATCTTAAGCACGGTATTTGAAGGATATCATGGTCGTGTTGACCCATAGCAGCACATACCGTACCACCCCATTTATAGCGATATTAGTGAGGAAGAATCTTTTACAATGGATGAAATTCACACAGAAACTTTTGACCTAGTAGTAGGTAAAATACTTAATATTATTGCGAACAGGTTTGATCAACTTGGAAATAGAAACACGAAGGCCATGCTTATAACTAAAGAATTTAATAAAGCTTATTAAGAATATTTTTGGAAGTTGAGTCCAACATTTCGAGATTGTTAAAGGTAATAATTAGACTGCAATAGAGAAGTTCATATCATTTGGTACAAGAACACACACAATTAACGAGCATATCTTATGTTTTACACATGGGTTTAGGTTGTGGTTATCCACTGATAAGACTGAGCCAAATACTAATTCTAAGAAAGACAGAGTATTTGTGTATGCCAAAGTGTGGGATATTAGTGGAAAGAAGTAAGCTCAATTGTTCAGCAAGCCTAACCCACCGTATCGGGAGTGAGTAAGAAAATGGTCTCCTTATGAAAACAATAATAAATATGAATGTTTAAAACTTTTAATGTAATTCGTATATCAAATTACCAGACTTTTCTTTATTAATTAAAAGAAGTATTTGAAACATGTTTAGGCTTAAGTCTATTGTGAATAAAAATATTGATTACTACTGAATCTGAAAATAAGCCTGGGAGAACAAATAGTTTATCCCGAACTTTTTCCAATCTAATGGATTTCACCTTTTGCTTCATTAAAAAGACTTCAAAAATTCGGTTTTATATTTTTCATATTTTGGAATTAAAATTGGAAGAAAGGAAGAGACAGCTATTTTTACATGTCTTTATGCAAAAACAATTCTGAGCCCACCTTTGTTAGTAATCGTTATATCTCATTTTCTTTTCTTTTTCTTGTGAATAGATAAGGTGAAGATATTTCGATTATATGGAATTGAGTTATAGGGAACATTTTTTTGGAGGATCTTTATATTTTATACACACTTAACGCCTGTCAGACAACCAAAACTAAGCTATCATATGCTACCAGAAAAAGTAGTAGAGATTTGGGGTTTAATAAAACCAAGCCTTCTATAAAAAGCATAAAGAAAATTTGAACTGTTCGTTTTTAACTTGATGCCTTCCTTTTTTGGCGGATCTGTACAATGCAAACTGCAAACTGCAAACTGCAAATAAAAGATATTAAATAAGATATTCTGAATACAATGTATGTACTTAAATGAAACTATCTAATAATATTAGATTGATTGAGAACATTTACAATGTCCCTACACACAATAATGAGAAATTACATCTTCTGCAGGTTCTAGTTAATACAAAATAATCTCGGTATTGATCTGGTGTTTCTTGTCTTTATTGCATTACAGTAACTAACATTAGTTTACAAGATAAACATGTTTTACTAAAATTGAAAAACAAGAAAGCGTTTGTGGGTATTTAAAATAATAATAATAAATCATAATTATTTCGACTAATACTCAGTGTGTGTGTGTAGGGTAACTGTCTGTCCCTTTTGTACTCCTCTAGTGATGCTGTATCACCTACTATACAAACAAAGGCAGAATATTCGACACAAATGTATCTCCTATTGTGTAGACAATTGTAACAAAAGGTCGATTTTTTTTTAAAAAACAAACAAACAACAAAAGACACAAGGGCCCTGAATGCACATTTTATACAATATCTAGTTATCATCCTCTACACTTCCACCAAACACTCCCTTTCTATAATGCTCGCGCTGTTTTCTCAACCATGCCCGGTAATCAGCCACTGACTGGATCTTTTCTCCATAGTAGTCAGGAACAGGGTTACGAATAGAGTTGAGTCGTGCATCGGCACGGTTATTCTTGATACGTTCATAAAAGGCCTTGTCGCGAGCCTCCATCTCAGCAGTCACCTTACGGTTGGTCAACTTGAACAAAGCATCACCAAAGAGAGGACCGAGCAACAAACCAAAGAAACCCTAGAAATAAATAGCGTGGCTTAACTCATTAATTATCTAGTTTCCCCTTTTTATATTTTGTTGTTGTTGTTGTTGTTGTCATTGTTATTGACAAGTAATAAACCTACTGTGCTGAGAGTAAGCAGACCAAGACCAGTGACTGGGTCAAGGCCAAGGTAGGTTTCGGTAGGATCGACCTGAAGGTTCATGCAGTATGCTCCTGTGGTGATGATAGGAAGGATTGTGCTAGGAGGGTAGGCAGCAAGTTCAAACATGCGACGCTTCTTGCGCAGCTTAAAGTAGTCATCCCATGTGGGGATGAGCTTTTCAGATTCTGTAGAGGTAGAGTATCCAAATGCTTGTTTTCCGGACAGCTGCATAGCAGCCAGGCCAACCATTGGTCGGTTTGTCTTGAGATGAGGTCTAATTGCCTGAATTGCTCGAAGTGACATGATACAAAAAGGAAAGAATTTTTTTTTGGTAGGGGGCAGGGTTCTTTCTTTTTTCATTTTTCTTTGATCCTTTATTTTTTGTTGACGCAGCTAGATGACGTTTAGTCGGCGATTAAAACATCAGAGAAAAGAAAAGAAAAGAAAAAAAGAAAAGACACTTTTAATCAAACTGGACAAAAAGTTGATTGTGGTTTTATCTGTACTGCCATATGTGTACAAAAGGAATATCCACAATTTCGACTATTTGGATACTGGTGTGAAATAAATAAAATGTGTTGAAATAGCTAGAATAAGAATAAGAGTAAGAGAAACATATAAAGGTATATATACCGCATATAAATTAATATTTTAATATTAAATAAATAAATGATATATTTTCACATGTACAGAAGCTCAAAGATACATAATGAGTTATAAGATAGGTGCATTATCTATATAATGCTAAAACGTGTTCAGTAGACCGGCTTCCACGTCTGGAAGGTCAATATGCAGTCGACGCATCCAATGACGCAACAAGGAAGCACATTCGTGCATTTATACAAACCAAGGTGTAAATAGAAATAGTTCATTATTTTATTTAATTTTTTATTTTTTTTGGGTGAGACAATCTTGCTTTTTTTTTTTGCTTTTCTCTCTCCTTTATGATCCTTTCGCTCTCTCTTTACTTCACAAAAACAATACACCGTCACTTTGCTCCTAATTGAACAGTCCACAGTAAAACACTTGATTCCCCTTTGGCAAGTGCCATTCTCTTGATTGCCTTGCACTTCTATTCCAAGAGAGCGATTCGAATCCTCTTCATCTTTATCTTCATTTCTAGTCATCTCGGCTCAGTTTCTTCCTCGTCTACTTTTACTACATAATCAGAATCGTGTCTTATTTTGTGTAGTTCGTCTTTCTATCTATTTGTCTATCTATTTGTCTGTCTGTCTATCTGTCTATCTGCATATCTGCCTATCTTATTGATTGTCTATCTTATTTTTTTATTTTTTTATTTTTTTTTACTGGTTGCTCTTATTGCACATTCTCTTTTATAATACTCTTCCCTTTCATTCATTTGTTTCCCTTCATTCACACTGGCATCAGTCCTACATTGTCATTTGCAGTAGCGCATCCTGTACGAGAGTCACCGGAACGATCCACTTGCTTCATTTGTCATGGTACCTGTGGATGAAGTGTTTGATTCGAAAAAACAACCAGAACATCCGCTCTCTGGGCACCTGCCAGAGAGAGACCGGCGACTATCGATACGCAGTCGCTCAGCTAGTCCATCTGCTTATGTGTTTGCCCCAAGCTGGATACTCTCTCCAACCGAGAAACCCGGTCTGAGGACAACTTCACTTGCATTCTCTTCCTTTGGAAAACGAACCCATAGAGAAAGCGATTTAAAGGATAGATTTCCAAGAGACCCTACTAACAAGTCTCTTCTTGCATCTGAAAGAACTGCAGGTAAATGGTCTTTAACACACGTTTGATTAATTTCAAATAGAACCTCTTCTAAACCCATTTATTATTTATTATTTATTATTATTTTATTATCTATTTCTCTCTCTTTCTTGCTTATTTTGTTTTGCTTTTCGTTTTATTTTATAGTCAAAACTGACGATAATAACCCTCTCTCACCACGTCCATCTGCATCATCACCTTCACCCAGAAGACTACCTTACCCTTCTCAGCACGCGCCAGACAGCAGTGCTCTTCATACTGACGTTAGAAGACCCGCCAAGGCGCTGCGAAATAATAGTTGTACAGACCTCACTAAATTACCACCATCCGACACAATGGAAGAGTTTCCTACTCTTGCAAACAATGCACCAGACCTAACCAAACACCCAACTAGTTCTCCTTGGGGAAAGCCGCATTTGATCAAAGAGGTGTTTGCTCAACCTGCCCAACAAGAAGATAATGTGACAAACCAATCTTGTGATCCTGAGCTTGCGCGCTTGAAAGCCTTAGTTCCTAAGCGTATATCATCAACAGCAATCAAAAAACACACCCCGGCCGGTTCATCTCATTCCAATAGACCTCGGAGTACTACAGGAAAAACTCTTCCCACCCGACTCTCTAGTCTCTCTGTTCGACAGTTCCCTAAAAGGACGACTGAGTCTCCAACGACCCCTGATGAGAAGAGATCTGGTGAAGAGAATACTGACACTTCTGGATTAAAAGATTATGCTCCTGAAATAGAGACACCCACGATTACAGATGAAGACAAGGAACGTTTCTTGAACTTGGTACGTGTGTGGACAGGCGGGGCAGTCCGATGGGAAAACAACTGTGGGGTACTCCCTAGATCACCCAGTCCTACCATGAATGCCAAACCACTCTTGCCAGTGGGAAGCGATCGTTTGTTTGATAGAAGAAGTAGTTACTCTGGCATCAGTCCTTTTGAAATGGGTCCCTTGAAGATCCACAGCCAGGAACCTTGCTCTGAAACAGACTGCTCCATTTACGGCAGCATGGATAATGGGCTACTCAACCCGACATCTCTTTACTCTGTCAAGGATACTGACATGAATGGAGTAAGAGATCGTTGGATGTTTGCAAAGGCGCCATCTTCCTCTCTCTACTATGTCATGTGAATAGATGCATTCTCTGCGTCCCCCCCATCTCTTTCTTTCTCTTTCTCTTTATATTTTATATATTTTATCTATGATAATTTTCCGCTTATTTCTTTTCTTTCATTCTTTCTATTTTTTTATCTCTTCACATATTCTTTACTTTTACTTTTACTTTACGCTATTTTATTTATAAATATTTTCCTTTATTATATCATATACATATTTTATATATATATATATAGTATTAATAAACACCCACATACATTCATTCACAAAAAAACACTATACTATACTATACTTCAGCTCAATTCAATTCACCTTACTTTACTATTTTATTTTAACCTAATAAATTCTCTCTCTGCGCAGAGTTTCTATTTCTCATCCTAAGCTTAATCTTGCTCATGTGTGAATCAACCTCGTCTAGTCGACTCTCCAACTCTTCTCTACGTCGACGTGTAAGAGTATTGGCTCCTGTGACAGGCATCTTGCTATATTCTGCCTGAAGCTAGTATAATATATTGTATATATATAAATAAATATATGTATATGTATGTAGGTGTGTACGATTTTGTGATCACGCAATTCATTCACTTACCAATTCCTTTTCAAGCACCAAATCTCTCAAAAGAATATCCAGATCGTTTTCAGCTGGCTCTGTGTCTTCACGTTCTGAGCTCACCTTTTCTGGAACCTGTTCCAGATTATCCAAGGAATTCTCATGTCGTGGAGGAGACGGGTCCACTTTAGGTGTATCTTGTGGTATATACTGGTCTTCTGAGCCATCACCAAGCCGTAAGAATTGCTCCAGAGTTGCTTTTAGAGTGCGTGCCTGGACTTGGGAAGAACGAAGCTGAGATTTAATGGCTGAAAGAGATGATGAGGCAGGCCCAACCACAGATGTCTTGAACGGGTCTCCATACACCTGTTCGACTTGTTTCTTTAAGGCCTCGTTTTCTATCAAGAGCTGTCTGACTTGCTCAGTAGCTACAGTCAGACTATCTGTAACAGAAGAAATGTCGTCTTGGAGACGTTCTTTTTGTGCCTACATTTTTTTTTTAAAAAAAAAGGATATTTTGATGAGAAAATTGTATGCAATTTATATACACAACTTTATATATATATATATTAAGGTTTAAACCTACTTTTTCTGCTTCAAATCGTTTTATCCACTCTTGTTTTTCCATAGATAAGGCATCCACTGATTGGCTTAGGAAACTTATATCATTGTTACATGCTAATATAAGGTAGTATCCAAAAAATAATAATAAAGAAATAAATACCATTTTCAATTCAATTTCTATATATATTTTTACCTTGTTTCTGCCGCTGCAATGCCTTGACAGTAGCTTGCTCTTTGTGTAGCTTGTCTTTCAGATAGTCAATATTATTCTCATATGCTTTTTCAAGCTGATTCTCATCATCACTTGGAGTACTGCGGTCCAATGCCTCCGGCTTGCTATAATCTCCACCATCAGGGTACATATCAAACGAATATACGTCAGTGTCTGATGTAAAAGTCGATCTTTCATCTTCGCTGCCTCTGTACGGATACATTGTCGTGCTCTGCTTTGCTTGACTGTTGCTGTTACTGCTACGTTGGCTGGCATCAGACGATGAAGACGAAAACGAGGATGCGGTAGAGGTAGTGTCAGTGCTATCTCGGCGGGACGCCTGGGCCAAGAGCCTGATGTTCTGTGGTTTTTCCTGGGGTGTCTTTGGGTGTAAAGTTTGGCGTGTTCCTAGCCGTTGAGACGGCGGTGGAGTCGGTGGAGGTGGAGATCGACTGGAAGGGAGGCGAGCCGCAGAAGCAGAAGTAGGAGCAGGAGTCTGCTGGGGAGGGCGCAAGGAAGCAAACGATGCAGCTGACCGCAGATTGCGAGACTTTGGATGCACTTGGTCGGATTGCTTTGAAGAGCGAGACAAAAGTCCTGAGCTCTGGGAGCTGGTGGGGACTGGTGTAATGCTGGCTTTGTCAGATCGAGAATGGATTTCTTGTGCCACAACACCCCCCAAGGGCTGGCATTCAAGAGACGCATTTCTGCGCCGATCTTCTAGATCGGACATGGATGATCGTGATACTCCTTCTTTGGTTCCATTGGACGCCTTTCCCGGACGCTCACATGCTACACCCGGGGGTCTGGAAATCTGTCTCGGGCTACTGTCAAGTGCAAAAAACGCTTCGATGTTGTTATTTACTTGGCCCTTATTAGACGCTCGAGGAGTCAGAGAATGTCGATTTACTCGACGAGTGTCTTCCGAAGAACGCAAGAGACTTTCTTGAGTCTTGTTTGGGTCTTGATGGTTTACGCGTGGAGTGACGGTGCGATGGATAGAACGTAGATTTTTGTTGCTGTTGGTGCTGCCGTTTCTGACCAGGGTAGGAGACAGACCTGCGGATGTACCGGTTGAGTAAGACAATGGACGCTGTCGACCTGATGCTTTTGTCTCTAATGGTTCGGGTGCTTGGCGTTGAGAGGAGCGTTCCGAGTAAGTGTGTATATTGTGCATACTTGTGGCCGAACGTAACATTGTAGGTTTATTTTCAGAGTCAAAACAAGTACTGGAAGAAAAATTGACCTCTTTTTAAACAAACAAACAAACAAACAAATTAATGAATAAATAAATGAATGAATAAATAAATAGAACAAGGACAATGATAGACCCCACAGACACGCGCATTATATTTTTGTGGGAGACATTTTAGGAATATTTTTAAGGAGAAGCAATAACCAGGTTGTCTTACCTTGACGGCGTTGCGAGAACATCCCACTAAAATAAAGATGGGCATAAATTTAGAATACAATACAATCTGTCAAAATTAAATAAAATAAAAGCAAGAAAGAAAGAAAAAGAGGTGTGTAATAGCAGGAGACCCACAAGGATCATTGCCTTTTTTTCTTATATAATACCTAGAACGCTTGGGTTTTAGATTTTGTGTATTGTGCCCATCATCGTTGTAAAGCTGGCTCTCATTAGATGACATTGAGTCTATTGGTTTTTCATGAAAATTAGCCTTTTAAAGATATATATATATATATATATATGTAAAGAACTGTAATAGAATGTAATACCAATAAGGCTGGGTGTTTGTGCAAAGCTTACGCTTTCTTTTGATGTCCTTCCTAGAGCGAGTTTTTTTAGATGCCAAAACCCTTGTTTATCACTACTAGATGTGGGTTTCTCTTTAGCCTTTCCAATCCCAAGTGGCATTCAAATATTGATGTAAATGTACAGGCTAGTGATTGAAAAAGAAGGTAAAAAAAGTCTATAAAGAAGGTAAAAAAGAAAGGAAGAAAGAAAGAGGTGAATAGAGAAGAAAGTAAATAAGAATAGGCTCAGGCAAATTATCTTGAACTAAATGATATTTTGAGAGGAATAAGAACGTGTCAGCACGAGCGAAATATATTAAGAGGAATCGATTGATACCAAGCATGTAGGCGCTCTACTGCCTGGCGTGTGTGTGCGTGCGTGTGCTTTCTGTGGGCACGCAATAAATAGAGATAAAAGAAAGTCTTTTAAGTATATACTTCTTTATGACAATAGTAGTGACTGAAAGTATGTCTGTTGTTGTGATAGTCAATCTACGACTACAATAGCACGCAAGGTTTATTGTGTATTGTTTATTTCTATGGTTTGTTTGGTAACAGGTTTGTGATTAATATTTGCAGATGTCCACGGTATCTATCGAAACAAGATCATACAGCTCTCTTAAGGGGGTGATCTCACGGTCGAAATTTATACAATGACTATATTCTGTTTAGGGAGTTCAATGAAAAGGGGAGCAACAGAAGAGGATCAGCAAAAGAAGCAATGATAAAGATCGTGTGTTTTCCATCTGTAATATACAAGAATCAATGGACCGATAGTATGCATTATAAGCCAAAAAAAATCTTCAAGCATGCGTTATCTATAATCATCGTTTTTTCTTTTCTTTCTTTCTTTTTACACTTCTTTAATTTCACTTTATTAAAGAGGTATTCAAGTATGAATGCATATATAAAGTAGTAACAATCCTACCCTATTACAGTTGCAAGAGAAATTAACTAGACAGGTTTATCTGACAACAAGATGGTTAAACCTAATTCAGTGAGACCACCAAATTTCAATATATATATATTTATGTATTTATGTATTTATGTATTTATGTATTTATTTATTTGTCATTTTGTAAGCATGTGTAAATGCCATATTAGTTCACTGTGTGCTGACTGTTTCTCATTCACAGAGGGAGAAGAGAAAGAGGGGTAAAAAAAAAAGAGAGTGAAAGCGAAATGTTTCCAATTTTGATAATCAGACAAATCAAGCGGGTACAAAATACTCTTTCTGTCTCCACGTTCACAGGGAGGCTCATTCGTTATGACTGAAGCAACTATTCATTTACCCACCCAGAACCACACAGCCACTGTTATTTGGCTTCACGGTGCTGGAGACTGCGGTGAGAGCTGGCTATTACTTTCAAATGAACTTAGTGCAAAATTTCCTCATGTAAAGTGGATCTTCCCGAATGCGTAAGTAAGCCTTGCTCATTCCTTCTTCAACATAAGAAAAAGAAAACTCATGAGCTTTAAAGTCCCTTAAGACCTCTTACGTGTTATGACGGAGCAGAAATGCCAGCCTGGTTCGATATTGTCAGTTTTGTGAGTGAAAAAGCCCATGCTGAAACAGACACAGCTAGTATGAAGGCTTCTGTGGCAAGAGGTGAGTCAAAAATAAATCAATATTAAAACGTAAAATAAAATAAAATAAAGACACTTTATGATTGGGTGAATAATACTTAAAAATCCTTTTTTGGAATCTTGGCATATCAAGTAAACACATTGATTGAAAATGAGATCAAGTCTGGAATTCCCGTTCAACGCATTATTTTAGGAGGGTTCTCACAGGGTAATAAGATCGTGTACTTTATAAATTCACCTTTATTCTTAATATGGACTTACAATATCAAAAAAAACCCCCAAAAAATAAATAAATAACAATCGTACTTAGGTTGTGTGATATCTCTACTCACAACTATACTCACTACACATGATCTTGGAGGGACCATTGGCTGTAGTGGTTTTATCCCTTCACAAAAGCATGTCAGTGTGGTAAGTCAACTATATGCATATTTAAGTATATCCAAATTCTCTCAATATTTACTCTATTACTTTTATTAGCTTGGACAGCCAATCAAAAAAGATACCCCTCTGTTGGTGTTGCATGGCGACAAAGATATTGTTGTTCCTGTCCAGTATGGCAGAATAGCCGTTCACCAATTGGAGAAAATGGGATATAATATTGCTTTTTACGAGTATCCTGGACTGGCTCATTCATTTGAAGAGGAGCAGCTCTTACAAGTAGCAAAGTTCTTAAAAGAGCATATCCCAACATTATCTGCTAAACTGTAGTTCTATTGTAATACCATTATTGTTATGATTCTAGTTTTGGTTTTGGTTTTAATTATTAGGGGAATAATTTAAAATACATTTTTTCATTATATTTGTATGGTCTAAAAAAAAGAGAGGTAGAGAGAGAGAGAGAGAAAAAGAGGGGGTGAGATTCTTCTTTTTTTCTTTTCTTTTAATGTGGAAGAAAATGAAATGAAATAGAGTTTAAGCAATTCCAGCTACTACTGGGCCGCCCTTCTCGGACAACTCATGATGGCCGATATCGACCACCTTTTTGTCACTCAAACGTGTGACAGTGAATTCAATGGTATTCCAGTTGTGGCCTGAACGAACAGACTCAAAGTGGACACGAGCACGCTCACCTACACTTCTTGGTCAATAAATAGTCTCTATTCTCTTCTTTAAAATACACGACTACTATTACGCCCTTAATTTACCCGACTTTCCGGTAACATCGAATCCAATATCAACCTTTCCCTTGAGATGGTTGACAGAGCCAGAGATCCAGGGTGTGCTGTCTGCATAATCAACCTGATCACCTACAAGCTCAATGATGCGAGGGTCATAGCGGACCATAAACAGAGTTCCGTTCACAATACTACTAGAAAGTCGCTGATAGTTCATAGCATAACCGAGAACACCGGCCCAAACAGCAGCGCCAACTAAAGCACCACCAATGATCACTGGCTTGCGGGATTTAGGAGCGGGAGGAAGCTCACGATCAACAACCTTTGTTCTCGAAACACGGGTAGTGCTCTCAAAGCGACGTGCGGTCTGGCTCGCAATACGCGAGGTAAGGGGTCGTGTTGCCGAAGTAATGGCGCGGATGGAAAATGGTGCAAATGACATTTTGATCCTGTATGCGTGTGTGTGTATGTGTGTGTATTGTATGGCCTGCCCACAAAGCGCCAAATGACAAAACAGATTCAGAGAGTCACAACCATGTACAAATTCCCGACAACCCAGGCTAGAACTTATCAAATTTTATTGCTTCTTTTTTTTTAAAAAAAACTTTCATGCCAATTTGTTGGGTTTGATGGCTCACAGCTTACATCTCTTAAATAATAATTAAAGCACGCTCTTATACATACAAAGTAGCTCTCAGTATATATATATATATTACTAACAAATAGCCTACATTAAATACGTGTAAAGATAAATATATATATAACCTTTATTTTTCATGTGTAAATCTTATTTGTCTCTCCTTATTAATGATTTACAAGAGTTATTGGTAGGTACGCTCAATACCAACTGATTATTATAATCAACAGTGATAAATGCATTATAAATGGTCTATTAAGCTGCAGCATTATACTAAGCTGTATAGTAAATAACCTTATATAAGTTTCAATTTTCATTACAACGGCATGATTTTTTTTTCGTTTTTTTTTTCTTTTGGGTTGCAACACAAAAATCGGACATTTAACTAAAATCAAACGATAAACTCCAAAGTCCCTTGCTGGAGTTTTTATTATTATTATTTTTTTTTTTTTGACAATTAACGCCATGCAACGCATTACATACACCTCCAGACCTCTTGGACGTCTTTTACAAACCAGTCAACGCATCAATTTATGCAGAGGATATGCATCTGCTGCCTCCAAGGTATAATTAATCGCAGTGGTATGCCTGAATAAAAGAGGATTGTTGACAATGCGGATGTGTGATCAGCATTCATGGCGTCCTACTCGGCAGACAGCTATACTAGCAGTCACTGGAATAGCAACCACAAGCGCATATGCAGCCTGGAAAATGCAGACTCCGGTCTATGCCGAAGCACCTTCAAACGTTTTTGCTGGTTCTGTTGAAGGTAACGCTTGGATTATTCGTTTCATCAACATACTCGCACATACACTAATACACTAATACACCATCTTAAATTCATTAGATCCCAGCACAAAAATTTCATTTCCTATCTTTCTCAATCATGGCACTGAATGGAAGCGATTAATTGGATTGGGTGCTCGTCAAGTCAGCTTCCTTAGTATCAATGTTTATGTACTTGGACTTTATATGCGTAGTCAAGATATCGGTACTTTGAGAAAGATTGAAGGATGGGAAGTAAGTCAATAATTAACATTTACTTTATAATATTATGTATATATATATTAAAAAAACTTTTTATCTGGGGTAATAAATTAGAATTTTGACAAGACCGAGTTCTTGGGAAAGGAAGATTTAGCCTTGACTTTATTAAAATTGCCTTTTGATATCTCGATTCGTGTTGGTAAGTTGAAAGTAGGAGTGGAATATTAATAGCAATTAACTATTTGAATTCAATCAACTTAATCCCACACTTTGGTAAATATTTTTAGTTCCTTGTCGTGCAACTAATACTCAGCATCTGCGGGATGGTTTCACTCGATCCTTATTGCAACGTATGCGTGCCGAATCAAAGGATATGACAGAAGATGAGGAGAAGGATATTTTGGATGGTATCAAGGAGTTCAAAGGAAGTTTTGCAAATGCAAATATCAAAAAAGACACCGAATTTATCTTTACGAAAACAGCGAATGGAGAGTTGTTGGTTGAGTTTGAGGTGAGACCATATTATTTTCGGTCTGTGCGTACGCAAAAGCGTAATCTAATGAGATTTGTAGGGCAAATTGATGGGTACGGTTAAGAACAAGTGGGTAGCCACCAACTTTATGATGGGATACCTCAACCCAACCAAACCTGCAAGTGAATTGGTAAGAACTGTCTTATTATACATACTACCTTTATCTCTTTCTCTTTGCGCTCTCTTTAAAGAAAACAAACAAATTCTCATTCCTTTCCTCTCATATATTTTCGTTTCTCCCTTTCCTCTTTCTTTCTCTCCATTTTTTGTACACAGGCCAGACAGAATATTGCAGAGGGATTCGAGAAAATCCTGGACGAGAAATCAGCATGATAAACCCCCATATATATATAAACCAAATACAAACACAAAACACAATAACAGACATCTTTCATACAGGATCCAAAAAAAAAGAGAGTCAAACTTCATATTGTAGAAAGAGGGAGAAAGAGAGGTGGAGACAATGAAGGTACCGACCAAACTAAGACTTGCTTTTTTTGTTCTTTCTTTTACAGCTCCAGCTCCGAAATACCATCCTTATTCACCAACTGGACCTTAAAATGCGGCATATTGACGATAAATCTTGTCTTCAGCTCCTGAATACATCTGCGGAGTAAGTCTTTAACTTCCTCAAGGTTCATGTCGGGTCGATAGTAGCGATCCATGAGTGAAGTACAAAAGTAAGCACCATAGCCCTGAGCGGCAAAAGGAAGAGATGCCATGGCACCAAGGTAGTCGATCCAAAACAATTCCGGTTTAGATGTCTTTACATCGTAGCCACCGATGAGCATGTTGACCGAGTAAGGATGCTTATACACAATTCAATCAGACATCATCAATTGTCATCCCCACATTTCATCCTTCTTGTTCTTCCTCTTCTTTTTTGTTTTTTTTTTGTTTTGAGTTTGTATGCTTACTCTGCTTCGTAGCGAGTCTGCAAGCTCGCGACGGGTGAAGTTTGCAGTTGCCTTTGGGCTGAGCTCGATACCGTTGCGAATGCTGTACAACTTGATGTTTCGCTGAATATATTCTGCAAAGTTGACGGTGTCGCCTGGTTCACCTGTATAGAGCATGATCGTCTTGGAGTTGAGTTGGCGTGATTTGTCTTCGGTGCCCTTCATAACTACAATGCTGCGGGCAGATACTGTGTCTGCAGCGACGAGGACAAAGTCCTTTCCTGTGATTCCAAATAGACACTCCATGATTATGCCGAGTTTAATGTAAAGTAAAAAAAAAAGGTTGTAAAGGGACAAAGATTCCAGCAGGACCTACGTACGCGACAGTTGCGCGGCCAACTAGGCTGTGACGCAACTCGTTTGTAACTCCGCCAACTTGGGCACCCTCCCTCCCCCTTGGGTGCCTTCTTTGGATGTGGGCCGGAGAGATCCTATCATTGAAATCCAGGCCCGGTCCCAAGTAGATCTTTCCCCTTTCTCTATTCCCATAGCATCGTAAGTTAGAAATACTTTCTTGGTGTATAGGAGAAAATGGATGGATAGATGCATAGATAGATTGGTGAATAGAGAAGAAAAAAAAAGAAAAAAAGACTTGGATAGATACATATCTCGGAACGGACGAGGAAGCCAGACGAAACGATTAACATTGCCATTACCATTGCAGATGTCCGCTCCCATTGAAGAAAAGCCCGTCGCAGTCGAGGAGACCACTCAGGAAGTTCCTCTTGAACTCGAAGAGGAGGAGGTCACTGTTGACTCCCCCCAGTCCCGTGGTGAGAAGAAGGCTCGCAAAGCCATCCTTGGTCTCGGCCTCAAGCGCGTCGCTGGCATCAACCGTGTCACCTTCACCCGTGCCAGAGGTGTAAGTTTCCAAAAAAAAATAGGATATAAAAGAAAGGATGCACACAATCCTTTTTCTTCAATTAAGTTTTTCTCACCCTCAATTGTTGTATAGATTATCTACGCTATTGCCAAGCCCGAGGTTTACCAGAGCATGAACTCTGACACATTCATCGTCTTCGGTGAGATGCAGGTTGAGGACATGGCTGCCCGTGCCCAGGCCGCCGCCGCTGAGCAGCTCGCTACTGAGGCCGCCTCCGGTGAGGTTGAGGCCCCCGCTGCTGACGCTGTTGCTGAGGTTGAGGAGGAGGAGGAGGAGGTCAGTGCCGAGGGTGTCGAAGAGAAGGACATTGAATTGGTTGTCAGCCAGGCCAACGTCTCTCGCAACAAGGCCATCAAGGCCTTGAAGGGTAACAACAACGACATTGTCAACGCCATTATGGTAAGTAGTAATTGATCTTATTTTACAAAGATAGTATGTGCTAATAACAATAATGTTCTTTACTCTTTTTAGGAATTGACCATGTAATTACAACAAAAACAAACAAAACAAACAAATAAATATAATCACCTATATATATGTATATTATTTTATTACAACTTGTTTTTTCTACAACGTATAAATGATATAAAACAAAAAAGAAATGCAGTCCAAAAAATATCATTTACACGCATGTACACACGGACCATACACAGACACACACACAAAGACAGTACAAAGATTTATATTTTGTATATATGAAAGTACAAGTCAGTTGAAGTATTAAATTTCACATGAATCTCTTGTATTTTTTGGTGATTAAACGGGTACCTTTTTTCTTACAAAAAAACTTAACCTTTATTTCACACCATGTATATATATATATTTAATGATCACAACTCTCACTAGTATAGACTAGACTAGACTAGTATAGTATTGGTTTTGGTTTTAGCTTTAATTTAATTTTTCTAGAATTAAGGAACACAAAACTAAATCGCTTGTTGTGGAATTTACAGTTTAGAAGTGCGATTTGCATGCATGGATTTTCCTTCTCGGCATTTGTTTATTTGCTTTAATTTTAAACTAATTATCTTATTTGTTTCAAAAATGACAAAATATACCTTCAATATGCACTTTTACCCAAAATCCTGTCCAGGCCGGCTAACCAACCAACCATTTTTTTTAAAAAAAAGATTATGAATATAGCCACTTTGGCTTAATTATCTTGTCTTGAACAATAGAATATTTAGGAATTATTGTTTATCACAAACATATGCACAATGGGCTGTTGTAAACAATGATTAATTGGTGTGCAGTATGTATTGAATAAAGCTGATAAATATTTGAGAGACTACTGTTTTCCTAACCAAACATACTTACTGATCCACATACCATTGCTATACGGATATCATTTATAGACATAAAGCTCAATTATTGTTATTTTACAAAACGTCTATCTTAAGTGTGTTAGTTGGTAACCATAGCTCAATACCATACTAAATGGTACATGATATACAAAGTATTTACCTACTATTCTTCAATTGTATTATTAAAAGCTTCATATACTACTAATTTATATAATTTACAATTCCAATCTTACAAAAATATTTCAGCATCGATAGGGCCTGGATAGCGTCATATATGTTGATTATAATTTAATTATGGTGTGTTCGAGCATAAACATCAAAGTTTTGAAATCTTTTCAATTTTACCCCAAAAAACCTCCGATAGTAGAATATATTCAATTCCCGATATATATAGAAAGAAAATCGAAAAATAGTATTTTACGTTACACAACCATCTTTTTTAGGATCATTGAAATGTACCTGTTGCTATAGTGACTCTCTTTCATTTCAATATAAAAAAAAAAAGCTGAAACTCCACTATTTTCTATTGATACCTCTTGACTTTGAAGGTCCATGACTTTTTATTCAAGCCTTGTTTTGAGAATCTTTTAAACAAGAGTTATTCGGAAGAGTCTTCCCTATAAAACATGTTTAAGCAATTCTCGTTAACTTGTCTGTAGCAAAAGTCATGGAACTTTGAAAAGCACCTAAAAACTTATATATTTATCCCCGAACACACCATAATTGTTTTATAGATTTATATACAGTAAAAGAGGATAATTAAACACGCTTTTTAATAATACGCTTTCTTTTCTACGAGCTATTTGATTTTTTAACCAGAAATCATGGGCTTCGCATTTACCCCACTTTTATCAGAGAAGCTAGCGCCAAGGGTTAGTCAGCATGTAACATTCTCTCTATATTTTCCCACCCAAGTTCCCTCTCTCTTATTGACATGGCCCACATCATGTCAATGAGAGTACGATCGCGCCTTCTTCCCATCAACACTCATTGTTATTTCACGGTACTTGACATTGAGTTCACATCCTTCCCTCCGGTCTCAGTCAGAGCAACTACTTCTTCCCTCCCGGTAAATATCTGCTCTCTCTCTCTCTCGCTCTCTCTCTTCTCGTTTTCGCTACACTCCAGCATGTTTTCCCATCTGTCTCCCCGTTATTTTCTACTCTTTCTAAAACAATATATAACAAATACAATCCAAAACAAAGGCCGTTATGTTCTATTTTTCTTCGTAGCAATGGAGGTTTACCAAAAATCTTGAGCACAAAGCTCCATACAAACAAACAAACAAAAAAGGTTTTCTATGTATTAGCCGAAAACAGGTGCAAGGACTGCAAACAAACCTGGACATCATACAAAAAGAAGTAGTCAAAGCGAAAAAATTTCATGAACTTCGACATATGGTAAATATATACATATGTTTGTTTATATGCATACATAACATAGAAGATAGCATAGCAATGTCTAATACTTATATATATTTCTATATATATATTATAATCGGTACAAAGCATAAAATACCTACTGAATGCGAAAGAACTAAGCCAAAAAGATAGAAACGTAATGCAAAAAAAACCGTAAACATGATGTCAATAAAGTAGAACCAAGTCCTCGATACTCCAGCTGTCATGAAGAGTCCCATAAAATCTGAAAATCAAAAAAGTGTATAAATCGTACACCAACTAAGCAAGTGCAAGCGCAAGTACAAATCCAGGATCAAGAGCAAGATCAATTACAAGCACTACTGGGAAACCATACCATCATAGCAATAAAAACCAATCTGGATACGATTTTAAGGCCTGTGTATAAGACACTCATCACGGAGAAAGTACAAATGGTATCAAAGTATATCCAAAATACTATGATTCACGCACATTTATTTTTAAACTATTACGTGATTACCCATTCTGACCAAACTGTGAACAAGAAAATCTAGGCAAAACTTTTAGTATTGTTCAAGACAGTGTAAAGAAAATCCTAATAAACGTCAAAGCCATTCTAACCAATTTTTTGACCTTTTGGAAAAGTTTCTCTTCGAGATATGCCAGTCTTGTCGGATGTACTTTCCAAGGCAAACAATGACAATAAACATACAATTAACAATATGTGGTGAATTTTCATCGATTGACATGCCTAAGCCAGTTACTTTGGTAACCCTCTCTGCCTTTCCTGAAGCACATATGCCTGTACCGGCCTATATCATAAAATAATTGAATTTTATCATCGAGATTAACAACAGAAAGGTCAAAAAGTGCCTAGTTTATTTTCGTTGTCCAGTGTACTTTCATTGATATGGAGGTTTACATTAATTAGCTCAAACACTTTTTCAGCATTTGCTACTATACCACTACCCTCTACCTATGCTACCAACCTTGAGATTTCTCTTGAGATGTTTGATTTAAGCAGACTTAGGTTGGATAGGTAGGTATAAATGCATATACAGTTATACCTAACTTATCAGATAATCATGTAGTAGATCATATAATAGTTTGCAATGTTCGCAAGATCTAGGGGGGAAATATATTGACGTTTTTTTATTTAATCAGATCCAATGGTTTTATTGCTAATGTGATACTCTAAAAGTATAACTAAAAGTACTGACTATTATGGTTATTATTTAGACAGAGATCTCGACATTTCTTTGTTAGGAGATGTAATGCAAAATGAAAGATTGGAAGACATTTTTCTTTGTGGTCTTGATTCGGGCAGATATCGAGTGTTTGAAGAATCTTACGGGGACAGTGAAATCCCTCGTCAATTCAGAAGATGCTCTACCAAGGAATACTATAAATACACTGGGTCAAAAAGGCACAAAAAAAGAGAAAGAGAAAGAATGGTCGCCGAATTACTAGGTAAAGTTCTAGCGGATATACTGCTATTATTATTTTAAAGAAGTTTCTACATTTGTACGCATTAAGATGATGATCCTTTCTATCTTATTTTGCCAAGAGAATATATATATATATATATATTTGGCTCATGGCAACAACAAAAACAACAACAACAGCGGAAAGAAAGAAAAGAATGTCTGGAAATTTGATTGCTTAGTTGGAAACGCTTTTTTCTTATTTTAAAATAAAGGATAAAAAAAGGGTCAAAATATTATTAACAGAAACTCTATCAACTTTATATAGATGTAAGCATTTAGTGAGTGGAATTTTTTTAGTAATTGAAATGAATGGTGCATTATTCTGCAAAAAAAAAACACATAGGCATTAATAATAAGCATTGGTCGGTTTAGATTGATAGACAGTTGATATATTGATATTAATATTTTTATGCTCATTTCTTATTTCATTTCATTGTGATTAATAAACATATCATTATTATAGATATTTTCTTGTTTATTACTAGACATCATGTGCTCAATGAATCATCTTGGTAGTCAATCCATGAGATTGGGAATCTAATGTAATGATTGCTAATTAACAATGAGCTTTCATAAATAAAACAAGCAAATACACACACATATACGCACAGAAAGGAAGTGTTTGTGAGTCAAGAATAAGAAGAAAACAAACCTGCAAGTATACAAAACATTATCCCCTCAATTCATTCACTCACCAGCCTACCAAGCCTAGCCACCCCCCCTTATATTATAATAACAACAACAAAGTATAAAGCAACTAAGCCTGATTTCTTATTTCTTGATTAATTATTTTGGTATGTTTATATGTTATTTCAAATACCAAGTAAAAAAAATGCATCTTTATATAACATTAAGCACTTGACCTGTTTGTATTATTCTTATGTGCTTTAAGTATATGAATTGTATATGAATTGTATATGAGTGTGTAGCGTAGTGTAATGTAGTGTAAGGTGTACATATTGATTAAATAATAGGGATCTGTGTTTAATACAATAATAGTAATAGTAATAAATATAATAAATTATAACTAAAATAGAGAGAGAGAGAGAGAGAAAGGAAGCTATTATTACTATTATCGAGAGTATTGTGATGGTGGTGGCAGTAGTGGGGTTTGAAGGGAATCAAGCTGCTTTTGATAGACTAGCGGTAGATTTATTTCCGAGGTCTGACAAACGGATGCTATTTTCAGTAGTCTTGCCGTGTACCTTTGAGCCATCATTCTGTGATACGCTTCTACAGATATTGACTTTTGTGATCTGGGACGGACAATAGTTTCAATTTTAGCCCCATCTTCTGAGCAACAAAGGTCACTCTGACCATCATTATCATCATCATCATCATTGAATTTTACTTGGACTTCTTCATAATCATAATCATAATCATAATCATCGTTATCATTATCATTATCATCATCGTCATCATCTGTTGAGATTTCTTGGATATCTGGAGTTGTGTCGTAGTTGTCTAGTAATGATTCCGAGGGATGTGCAAAATAGTCGATTGTTTTATTGGCTAGATTTTGGATTTTATCGTCATCGTTATCATCATCATTATCATTATCATTATCATTATCATTGTACTGACAAGATAAATTGACAGTAACGACAGTAATAGCAGCAGCAGCAGCAGAAGAAGAAGAAGAAGTAAAAGTAGATGAAATGGGGTTTGTGAGCATGATTGTTCGATTTTAATTTTGATCAATAAAAAGAAGAAGAAGAAGTGAAAAAGAAAAGGCTGTAAAGCTGTCCATTCTAAAATAATGATAATAAAAGATAATTACAATGTGGATTGACTTACTTCTTTGGGTGACGCAGGAAGAATGTCTATGGAGTGCAGTTGGTGTGGTTGGATATAGATTATTGGACATTGTACATGCTTTGATGTTCTTTGTTGTGAGTCAAGAAAAGTATCCCAACGCTCATCGATGTCTGGGGAATGCACATGGACAATGGAGGAAGGTGCTTGGTAATGAGACTTGACGGTTGTATTAAAATTAAATATTCCAGTCATTACAGCTCAGTATAAAGAGGTAGTTTAATAGTATTGTTTCAATAGCAATATAGAGTCAATGAAGAACAAGAGAAAGAAGAAGTAGAAGAAGAACGCGGCATTAGTATGTATATATACAGAAATTTGTTTTTTTTTGTAATAGCCTCGAGTGAAATACCTTAAATATTTTTTTTTCTAAATAAGAAAATTATTGCATAATATAAAGCTAAGCAACATCGTACAGTGATCCGCTTAATTTTCATATTATAAACCAAAAAAAAAAAAAAAACACACGCATCTTTATATATTTAAATATATACATAATACATACATGCGTATATAGAAATAAGAATAAAAATTAAATATACCCTAAATATATATACTTAATTACTATGTATATCCATTGTCAACCTACTATCAAATAAACCTTTTTTTTTGTTTCAATAAAATTGAAACGATATTACTTTTTCAATATTAATAAATATCGAGTAAAATACAACGGGTGCTAGTGATACTGGTATATTCTTTATCAGAAAATGCAGACAAGCTAATAAAAGATATTTCAAAAGACATTGAAGAACTTAGTGTAGATTTGGGACAGATAGCTACCATTACGAAGCTTGAGTAAACCTTTTGATTCCATAGATACATATACAACGGCAGTAACACATTGGTAAAGCTTAATTCAAATGGAGGAGAAATTATCTTCTTCGAGAACATAAATGTAGAGTTGCTTACAGAAAAAGTCAAAATGTGCAAAAGCTCACTCTATAAATGCTATAAAAATCTACAATTCTTTTTATGAATTTTTTACTCTTGCTTTTCGGTGTCCTCAACTACAAAACGGGATCATTGACTAATATTCAAATTAGATTTTCTTCGAATAGCCTGGCTAAATAATCACATATATATAAAGTATTTATTCTTTCATTAATCTAAAATATTTTTCTGTTTTTTTTTAAAAAAAAAAGAATGAAAGTATCAACCGAATTATGCATTTCTACATATGATAATTTATCTCGAGCTTTATCAGGCTTGTCTATATAAAAGTAATAAAATTAAATTGGCTGAAATAATTGGTTATCTACTTCAACATATACTATGAGATGTGAATGATATATTAGAACTGCAAACTTATGGCTAAAGATATATAGTGTCTATTGGTAAGTACTACTTTTCAAAATAATTTTCAAGTGCTAAGCTTTACGCTCATACAAGATAATCTTCGCAAATCAGTCAAAGAATATTATCAATAGGAAATGGTAAAGAGAGAAATTCACTGTCGTTACCTATTATAATTGTTGTATTTGTTATATAATGCTATAATAAACCCTTTAAAATAAAAATATGACTAGTATTTGTATACTTATTAATGTAAGCATTACAGAGATTGTATTCATTCAATCCACCGAGTATTTCCCAAGGATATATATATTGAATAAGATATAAAATTAGCATTATTTTATCAAACACTACTTTTAATTCTTTGAATAGGGTAAAGTATTGCTGCACTAAAACTTAAACCCTATTTTTTAGATATCTACCTTCTGAAGCCTATAAAGAAATTCGATACGTCTTACGTTTAACAAAAAAAAATGTTAGTTATATAGGCATGCCTACGAATTGAGGTAGCTCAATACTTTATATTTTGTCTTTAGTAGCCAAAACAGAGATATTAAGCTCAATGAAACCACTTATAATAAATACAACACAGATTTCATATTGTATACATGTATGAGAATAAAATATAAAAAGTAGAAATCCTTATTATTTTAATTAAAGTTCAAAGAATCTATTCTGTTCTACGTTTCAGTATGTATATTACAAAGTCACAAAAAGAAGTATTAACTTTATTTATTTTCGATATTACATTGATTAATATATATTTATATACTATTCAAAATGAGTAAATTTATATAAAACAAGGCAAGATGGTCTTAGGCACACAAATTTTTAGCGGTATACCACATGCATTTTGCGGTTGGTTTTTCTACTGGACGATACATGTGAAACTTCAAACGCCAATCACCAGGGACATACGGAGCTGCCTGTGTCAAGTTTACCAAGAGTCCAAGAAAACATAGAGTAGAGAAGATTTGAACCATAGGAGAGCGCATGATGTAAAGTTTAAGAATGAATTGATGTTTTTGATTAATATGAATTGAATGATATTTTGGATCTTTTTCTTACATTATATATACTTTTTTTGAAATGGCTTGGTGAATACATATGGCTGAGAAATATAACTGTTTCTGAATAATTGCTCAAGCTATTTGCTTTTGGTATAGAAAATGTGTTTTCATAAGCCTTTTTACAAGCTCTCACAATAGTCAGGTTTGTATAAACCCAACCCATATTGGTATATTGTACAAGACTTACACAAACCACTTATTCAGCTTTCATCCCAAAGAAACAACAACAAAGTAAAATTCTTATTTTTGTATGTAATATACAATTATATATCTACAGAAGTATATATTGCCCAATTCATTAATTACATATTGAAAAGAAGCTATATTTTCTGTTTGTTGTTTAATTGAATCATTCTACTCTTATTTTTATCTTTATTTATTCCCAGTAGCTTATTTCTTTCATAAATCGAAATACATATGCTTCTCAGCTAAAATCTGTAATTTTCTAGTGCAATATAACTATCACTTTATGCTGAATTTCTGAGTATTCTTGTATAGCAAAATGGCTTTACAGAAACCTTTATATTAAAATGATTACATAAATAAATAAAAAATAAATGAATAGTTATATGATTTTGAATATCCCGCTATTATGATTATATTAAGCTTTGATTATATATAGTTTTAGTTAAAAAAGATTCAAACACTTAACTATAATTAATTAATAAAAAATATTTAAATATATATATATATGTTTTATATGTAAAAAGTACGAAAGTACTGCTATATATAAATATTTGATATATGTATATAATATTCTTGCTTTAAAACTACAAACCTTTACGCACAGAAATAACTGCAAAAAGGTAGAGATTTTATCTATCTTAATATATATATAAAAACTGATTTTTTTTAGATCCTAAAATATATTTTCAAAACTCGGCATCACATCTTTACTACTGGTCAGTACTTTATAGTCTCATATGGCTAGAATTTTTTTTTACTTTATGTTTTCTTTTTGAACTATTTAAACTTAAGAAAAAAATGTTTCAAAGCAGATTTTCTTTGAATTAATATATATCCATGGCATAAAGAATCACTTTTAACGTAATGCTTTGTCTCAAACAGCATAACAGTACTGATCATAGACATTAAAGAAAACACTTGATACACTTTCAGACATTCAAAGTAGTCAAGTTTGTGTAGAATCATCAAGCAATATGATTTCTAATATAGTATTCTCACATTGGTTTTTTCATATTAAAAAAGTTCATATTATAAGATCAAGCTAATCTTGTATTAAAGACAGTAAGAAAACAATAACAAAGCTGCTTGTGTATAATATTATAACCAGCAAATTTTGCGTGGAGTTTGAGACAAAAGCCCAAAAATAATATTAGTGGAATCAAGTGCTTTTTCTTTTTACTTATTACTGATAACAAATCAATATTTAACTAATGACGATCTTTATTAATGTAGCTCATCTTAAATTTATCATTTCTCAGGCCGATCAGAGTACACTAGTTAATACAGACGTGTATCACTCCATCTTCAAGATCTTCCAATACCCCAAGTATTTTCCTACAGATGGTCATACAAATTATGTAGACCATTTTTCTGTTCTTTAGTTTTAATATCATTTATAATTTATTCCAATGACATTTTTGCTAAGAAATATACGGTCTCTTCAAAAATGAAGGATCTACTCTCTTAAAAAATTGGCCAATCTAATCATACTATTACTAACTTTAAGTGATAGGCACAAAATATTTTTCTTTCACTATAACATTTTGTAAATTGGCTGTCTATATAAATCACTGGTTTGCTGCTTGTTTTCCTTAAGTCCATACATTTGATTACATTATATAAACAGAGCACAGGTCAGCTTTAAGTAATAAAAGAGAAAAATCCTTATTTCTAAACTTTGTTTATACCATTTAACTATAAAAATCTCTCTTGTTTTTTACTTTTTACTTATTTGCTTTAAAAATGTTCTTTTATCATTTAGTACTTTTTAAAAGAAAACATTCCTGTTTTAATATATTGCTGCATTTTTAGATGATTTTTTTTGTCTTAAATTATTGATAACCATTAGAATTAAATTATTACTTTTTACTACATGAAGATCATTACTAAAAGAAGTAAAAATTGAAATAAATACAATAAAATATCTTAGTTTCATTTATTTTTTGTTTTATACTTAAAAGAATGATGTAGTACCTGTCACAAAAAAAAACAGCAACAGCAAAGAAAAAAATCAGACAAATTATCTATAAAAGAAACATCAATCTTTCAATTTTTTCACTTTTTTTCATATACCTTTCTTCCCTCTATTTTCCATATTATTTTCTACTATCGCACACTTGCCTTGCAAATCTTGCACCTCATCTCAGGTTTTCTTGTATACTGCTTTTTACACGTATATCTACTTTCTTACTACACTCTGTGTTTTTCATAGGCAAATCTTTCTGCAGAATACAAATATCCACAAAGGTAAGCTATCTATTACTCATCGTCAAAACCGACATAAATACTAATATTAGTTATATGTTAGATAGTAAAGATTGCTTGCAGTTTTGTGTACTCCATCGGAAATATTTTTCTAACTTCTTATGCAGAAGCTCTCATAGGATATATCTGGGCTCTATATCTTGTCCGTTTGGTTATTCAAAAAAAAAGTACAAGTAATGTCAAAATTCTTATATATTTTAATGCAGCAAACTAAAAAAACAGCGTATTTAATCAGATAAACTCTATCGTTTATGAAGATGGCAAACATCTTCATATTGAACAGATGACATTTACTCAAGTACATCATAAGAGCCAAGGGTCCAAAAATTTGGTCTAATTCAGTCTTCTTTATTATAAAAAGAAGCTTAAGAAGCTGATGATTGAAGAGCAAGTCTCACAGAAAAACTATTTCCAATCTATTACATATACTTTATGACAGATAAAAGACAATGTCTAGAGCAAACCTTGTAAAACTTTTTATGACATGGTCTATTTCACTGCTCCTCCAACTGGATGTTCTCTTGCTTTATGTTGCTCCTCTGAACAGGCCGCATTCAATGAATACAGACCAAAAAAATCATTTGCTGGTCTTTTTTGTCTTAAATCTGCATATAATTTTCAAAAAAATTTCCGATCTAGTTTCTTTGGAATTTAAGACAGCATAAATTCCAATGAAGATCAGCGGAATGTTGAAAATACTACGAGTGCTGCGCAACAATTGTGGCTTAATGAAATAATACTGACTACCACCATAGTTACCAATTGATATAACAGAAAAACAGTCTGGTCTACAAAGTTTCCTTCGTAATCCGTATTAGTTAAGGATGCATCAGCCATAAGATAAAAACAATCACGTACTTTGTGTCCGCATTTGATGTTTTTTTCAGAGCAGATTAATGAGATGTCAGATGCCAAATGTAAACATTCTCAAGTACAGACTCCTATAAAATACTTGTCAAAAGTATGAAAGTTCCGTTGAAGAAACTTATTATATGATCTATCATCATTACTTATTTTTGTTTTTCTACTTATTTTAAAGATTTTTATACAGCTTAGATTATCTGCTTCATACACATACGTCTGTTTTATTCACTGCTTCTATAAAATTTTTGTGAGTCATAAGTTTATGTTTTATCAGTATACATATTGAACTATTATTCATATAGGTATTTAATTTCTGAAATACATCTATTTAAAATCTGTGTGTCTGTTTGTTGTGCACAGATGCATTTATTCTCTATGAAATCCGTCTATCCAATCTGTGTGTCTGGTTGTTGTGCACAGATGCAATTATTCTCTTGAAATCCGTCTTTCCAATCTGTGTGTCTGGTTGTTGTGCACAGATGCATTTATTCTCTATGAAATCCGTCTATCCAATCTGTGTGTCTGGTTGTTGTGCACAGATGCATTTATTCTCTATGAAATCCGTCTATCCAATCTGTGTGTCTGGTTGTTGTTCACAGATGCATTTATTGTCTATGAAATCCGTCTATCCAATCTGTGTGTCTGGTTGTTGTGCACAGATGCATTTATTCTCTATGAAATCCGTCTATCCAATCTGTGTGTCTGGCTGTTGTGCACAGATGCATTTATTCTCTATGAAATGCGTCTTTCCAATCTGTGTGTCTGGTTGTTGTTCACAGATGCATTTATTCTCTATGAAATCCGTCTATCCAATCTGTGTGTCTGGTTGTTGTGCACAGATGCATTTAATCTCTATGAAATCCGTCTATCCAATCTGTGTGTCTGGCTGTTGTGCACAGATGCAATTATTCTCTTGAAATCCGTCTATCCAATCTGTGTGTCTGCTTGTTGTTCACAGATGCATTTATTCTCTTGAAATCCGTCTATCCAATCTGTGTGTCTGGTTGTTGTACACAGATGCATTTATTCTCTATGAAATCCGTCTATCCAATCTGTGTGTCTGGTTGTTGTTCACAGATGCATTTATTCTCTATGAAATCCGTCTTTCCAATCTGTGTGTCTGGTTGTTGTTCACAGATGCATTTATTGTCTATGAAATCCGTCTATCCAATCTGTGTGTCTGGTTGTTGTTCACAGATGCATTTATTCTCTATGAAATCCGTCTATCCAATCTGTGTGTCTGGTTGTTGTGCACAGATGCATTTATTCTCTATGAAATCCGTCTATCCAATCTGTGTGTCTGGTTGTTGTTCACAGATGCATTTATTCTCTATGAAATCCGTCTATCCAATCTGTGTGTCTGGTTGTTGTTCACAGATGCATTTATTGTCTATGAAATCCGTCTATCCAATCTGTGTGTCTGGTTGTTGTGCACAGATGCATTTATTCTCTATGAAATCCGTCTATCCAATCTGTGTGTCTGGTTGTTGTGCACAGATGCATTTATTCTCTATGAAATCCGTCTATCCAATCTGTGTGTCTGGTTGTTGTTCACAGATGCATTTATTCTCTTGAAATCCGTCTTTCCAATCTGTGTGTCTGGTTGTTGTTCACAGATGCATTTAATCTCTATGAAATCCGTCTTTCCAATCTGTGTGTCTGGTTGTTGTTCACAGATGCATTTAATCTCTATGAAATCCGTCTTTCCAATCTGTGTGTCTGGTTGTTGTTCACAGATGCATTTATTCTCTTGAAATCCGTCTTTCCAATCTGTGTGTCTGGTTGTTGTTCACAGATGCATTTATTCTCTATGAAATGCGTCTTTCCAATCTGTGTGTCTGGTTGTTGTGCACAGATGCATTTATTCTCTATGAAATGCGTCTTTCCAATCTGTGTGTCTGGTTGTTGTGCACAGATGCATTTATTCTCTATGAAATCCGTCTTTCCAATCTGTGTGTCTGGCTGTTGTGCACAGATGCATTTATTGTCTATGAAATCCGTCTTTCCAATCTGTGTGTCTGTTTGTTGTGCACAGATGCATTTATTCTCTATGAAATCCGTCTTTCCAATCTGTGTGTCTGGCTGTTGTGCACAGATGCCATTATTCTCTATGAAATCCGTCTTTCCAATCTGTGTGTCTGGTTGTTGTGCACAGATGCATTTATTGTCTATGAAATCCGTCTTTCCAATCTGTGTGCCTGGTTGTTGTGCACAGATGCAATTATTCTCTTGAAATCCGTCTTTCCAATCTGTGTGTCTGGCTGTTGTGCACAGATGCAATTATTGTCTATGATATCCGTCTTTCCAATCTGTGTGTCTGGTTGTTGTTCACAGATGCAATTATTCTCTTGAAATCCGTCTTTCCAATCTGTGTGTCTGGTTGTTGTGCACAGATGCATTTATTCTCTATGAAATCCGTCTTTCCAATCTGTGTGTCTGGCTGTTGTTCACAGATGTATTTATTGTCTATGAAATCCGTCTTTCCAATCTGTGTGTCTGGTTGTTGTTCACAGATGCATTTATTCTCTATGAAATCCGTCTTTCCAATCTGTGTGTCTGGTTGTTGTGCACAGATGCATTTATTGTCTATGAAATCCCTCTATCCAATCTGTGTGTCTCGTTGTTGTGCACAGATGCATTTATTCTCTATGAAATCCGTCTTTCCAATCTGTGTGTCTGGTTGTTGTGCACAGATGCATTTATTCTCTATGAAATCCGTCTTTCCAATCTGTGTGTCTGGTTGTTGTACACTATGT